AGGGCTGAGGCCAGATAGCTACGCCGCAGCTACAATCTGTCAGATCAGAAGTCTTGACGCACTTTGCCGCACCTATCTGACTGCGCCGCAGAGTCTTGAGCCGTAGTATGCGCGGGGTCGGTGACGGGTCTCGCAGGTCTTCTTCTAACCGACGGTCATACTAGATGGTAGTACGGTGTTGGTTCTGAAACGTCTTTGCATCGCCTCGCTGCTGCATAAGTGTATTGCTTGCGATGCATTAGCGGGCTTGTCGTTCAATACTCACACCATGTGATGGCCGTTACTGCGACCTTTGATAGCAATTACGCAGTGAGGTATGTTGTCTCACTCTGTAACACGGGTTCGCAACGCCTTCCAGAGACATAAGCGACTTCATTTCGGGGGATGTAATGTCTGGAAGGCCTGGTTCTCTGTATAGCCGTATATGCAGCCGATGAGCCGAATGATCAGTCTGAACTATCATGTTTTGCCCCGCGATATCCGCTCTTACAAGGTCGTATTGGGATTACGTTGACCTGCGCATTTCAACGACCACATCTGCGACCGCTGTTAGTGCATTTGAGAGTTTCAGTATGTCTTGTTGGCCGGCAGTTCGGCCGGAGGTACTTCTAAGCGCCGGTTCCCAACCATGGGATTGGTTATCGAGGATGTAGTCGTGTTGGTTCCAGTACTAACAAGTAGCCAGAGTGGCTGTCACAGCAGGCGATTTATCGAAAGTCGCTTGCAAGTAGCTGTTCATTTATCGACAAAAGGTAAGCTGCAGTAGTAAGGCGGCAATGTAGCAAGTGACAGCAGTAGAGAGTGCTTCGAGTAGCTCGCAATCCAAGAAGGGTTAGTGAGCTGAGGCTGCGAGGAACGAAATGTGTAAATTGACAGGCACACAAAGCATCGCCTCAGCCAATCCTTCTGTTTCGAACCTTCTCATAGGGCTGAGTCATGTGGTTTGCCTAAGGCTCTTTCTCCCGGGCAAGAAACACGATGGGAAGATGGGAGACAGTGGTTGAGTGGTGGCTTGCTGGGCGGCGCTTACAGGTTGGGTGGGGGTGGGGGACTTGCTGAAGGCTTATTCATTCATCCAATAGGGAGAACGTGAGGATGTGCGATGTACAATCCCGTAGGTGCCGGTGTCGCAACATGAGAGGCACGTCGAAGAGAAGGCAGCAAACTCGGAGGGCATGTGGATGCTCAGTATTCTGGGCATGGCGGAGCCAGGCACGTGTGGGAGCAGACCAGGCTGCGATGGCACACGGCTGCCTGCAAACCTTCTTCCGGCCGATGCATAACGCGATCGGGATTCAAAAGTTGATTGCTAGCGAAGACGATGCCGTCATTGCGACGAATGATGAAGAAGTCGCGATGATGTGCTGCTGGTGATGACAGTTTTGGCGAGGCAGACTTTGTCGGTTCAGCCTCATGGAGGATTAGCCGGGAGGCAGACATGTGGGTGGAGCTACTTTTAGGCACGGGAGGCAGCGACGCTAGTCTCGTTTGGGCCTGCATCTGGTCGCAACTGCCCCGCGCAAGATGGAAGATAGAGGTACAGCCCTGCCACGGCGGTGAGGCTGTGATGGTTTGGCGCACGATGAGGTAGTGAAGGTAGAGGTGAAAGAGGTAGAGGATGCTGCCCAGATGCGTCTGTTGCATATCGCAATATTGACCGATGCATGCCATGTAAGCGACAGAGGGTGGGTGTAGTCGACGAAGGATCAGCTCCCCAACCGAATCAGATAGCTTTCGCGACAGGAGTGGGTCCCGCACGTGCCTGACTGTGATTGCATCCTTCGATCAAGCCATGCCCGTTGTGACGGACATAATCTGCAGCGTGAGGTGATCCTACTCGAATTATCCTGCCGTGTGATTCCTGCCTCTTCCTCCCGGCGACCTGTTTGCGGGGACGCCGACAGTCGAGTCTCCCTAAAGAGGCTGTTGTCTCGGTACGTCATTTCGGCGAGCGCGACACCAGCACCACCTCTATCATGCCGATGATCTTGATCTGAGTGTGGCATCTCCATGTGTTCCGAAAGGGTAATCCATTCGCCGTAGATCTATCCAGATGGTAAGTACCGGCGGGCTGACTTCGGTGTTTCCACAACCTCAGGAAGGGGAGAACCAGTCCAGCCCGAGCAATCGCCTGAATCGCGCCATCAGCGGGTCGCGGCAAAGTGCTCTCGACCTCCATCCATGAATGTCTCATTGTGACCCACCCGCGATGCTCCACGCGATGCAGCCTCCCTGGACCTTGCTGCTTGGACAACAAACGCATGGTTGCGTCGAAGCTAAGTCGGCTGGCCAGCACGTGCCTCTCATTTCTCAACATCCCGCACTAATCCCATCGCGCTTTGAACCTTTCCGGGCGGGCCAACGGTGATCACTGGCGCGCTCGTACGTTACAGAGCGCTGGATTGGTCATGTCTCAACGCACAGGTCTTTGTCGGACGAAATCGAGTGTCTAGCCCTACGACTATTGAACTATCAAGCTTGTAGGCCGTCGTCGCCTGTCAACAAACACCAGCGCCGCGGAGAGGGGCCACATCTGCAAGCTGCAAGTCAAGTCAAGTCATCTCGCTTGATCTTCTCTACACCCTAGACGCGCTCATCAGCCGACGCGACCCAAGCTGCAAGAGCTCGACGGCATCCAACCCAGACACGTGCCGAAGCGAGCAACGGCCCTGGAGGCCGCTGGATTGAGCTCCCTATTCATCAAGATTACCGGCTATACTGCGTCTTACGCCCCCATTGAGCAAATAATGTCATTGTCCTCACACATTCGGCAAAGCTCTCACCGCTTGAGTTTCACATCGCTCTACATGCTCAAGGGACGAAGGTATAGCATGCGGGACGTTGCGGTTCATTTCCCACCATGCTAAGCTGAAGTGGTGCTATTAGGCGATCTCTGCCGGCTGGCAGCCTCGCAAAAAGATCGTGGTGCCAGACCCGACCCGCGCACCCAACGCTTGAACCAAAACAGCAAATGCCATGGGCCAGCTCTAACTAACGGACAAGGTTGTAGTTCATGGAGTCGCGAGAGCCGCCGATGGAGCATTGCATAGTCTATGGGCCGCGAGAGCACGTCGATTGCACCTGAAATACGCGCCGGCTACGAACTAACAGCTCTGGTCACCTCACCCTACTCCACGGGTCACGATTCGTCTGCCCTGGTCCAGCTTACTAGGATCCCTGCCTCTAACCATCGTCTCGGTTGCGGAGGAGCTGAGTCCTCATGAAACAGACAGCGGTCCTGGCCCGACAATCAGGCTCGCCAGCGCCCAAACGCGCAAGAAGCTGCTTGTCCCATGTGCAAGGCGACCGCCATCGTCAATCTGAAGGCGGCTCCGCCGGCTGGGGCTGTCTGCATGGGGTTCTACGCTGCAATCCTCAGATGTGCAAATGCAGGAGCTTGAGCCCTGAAAACCGGTGAAGGCTGTGACGTGCGTGATGCAGTCGTCCTGTGTGCCGAGCAAAGCGCGTCGATGCTCATCAAATCCCCAGCGGTCCCCATGCCTGTGCGAGCCAGTGCAAATCAATGCAAAAGTGGATGCCGTCGTCCGGCGCCTTTTCATTTGCCTTGTGCCTTGAAGGCTGAGGAAGCTTGGTCGACGTGTTCCCAAGCTTTGCGCGAGCGGACGCACTAAACCATCAGGCCCCCCGCCTCACGAGTAGCCCTACGCCCATAGCGGGCTGCCGTGTGGAGATTGGGTGAGGGTCAGGGACTGCGGGACCATCTGAAGCCGCTTCATGTCCTCGCGGAGGGACTGCTTACCGTGCTTACGCCTTGGACATTTGCACCTGGACGAATGAACACAGCAAGCCGGTGGGTGCGAGGCGGTCGGCCACGAAGAGTGTGTTACAGCTCTCGCCGTCTTCGCCATCGCCGACTTGTTATTCGGCGACGAGATACATTGCAGTTGTCCTGCGTGCTGTAAGGTGTCTGGCGCATGGATCCCTGGTAGGGCTGGTGGGCTTTGACAGGCGAGACTACACATCTGCCGCTCAGTGCACCTAACAATGCCATGTCCACCAATGAGGGCGCAGGGCACCGCGAAACTGTCGGACATATCTTGCTCTGCAGGGGCGAGCATCGCAAACCCGACGCCTGTAACGCCGCGATTGTTCAGCATCCTTCGACAAGCTTCTCTGCAAGGCACATCGTATGTCGTTGTGATGACAGCATGGTGCGGTGCTGCACCGTGGTGTAAGCAGCAGCATGGGCGCCGTTGCAGGAGGGCTGAGCACGGTCATGCTCCACGCGAGTCTCTATTTCGGGTCCCTCATGGCTCTCCCAAGCCACGCTCCTCTTAGCAGCCAGCGTGAAGTTTGAGGCGGGAACGGTCCGCAGCCTGGCCTAGCGGTGCCCTCTGGCTGTCCACTCGCATCCCGGCCATGTCCCAATTTTGGTGCGCGGACGCCTTGTTGCTCAGTGTGACTGACGGAACCGTTCGCCTGCACGCCCGCAGCCATGCCCGTGGGCTCAAGCCATCGACTTGCTGTAAGATCGGCCAATGCACTGCCTATGGTGGACACCCTGGAAAGCTCCATGTCTACACCCTGGACATGTCGGCTTGCAGCGTCTACGACCCTCGTCATTTTCCAACCCCCATACTCGAGTACCCTCCTCGTTCGGGGTTGGCTCAGGCACAGCCCACAGATATTTACAGTCTCTCCATCCACAAACCTATCCGGGCGCAGCAAATTCACTCTACAATCATCGCAAATGCCTTGTTTTGGTCCGGCTTTCTTTCCCAATTAGGTCTACTACACACCACGTTAACTCTTCTCCCCTGGCGGCTGTTCCTTAATTCAAACTTCCGTCCCCCGGCTGCCTATCATCATCCCGTGGGAAAGCACCGACTCGTCCAAGACATGACCACTAGCTCATAGCCGTCTATCGTACCACCAAATCTGGAACGTTTAGCACACATTATCCACATTCCCACTTGAGCCTCTGATCCCCGTTGTTCTCCAACCTAGATATATACCATCCATCGCCTCGTCCCTCAGTCATGTCCGAACCAAGTGAGACCGGAGGCCTCCCATTGGACTTGAACACACACCAGCAACAGCAACCTACAGGCAGCACCATTCATCAACCATCACCACCTCGTGTCGACTACCGCAAGACATCACAGTCATCTAACGATCTACCCAAAGCATCCAAGGCTGCCAGCCCTCGCCGTCGTCCTGGAACTACCAAACAAGCGCCGTCCGGCCCCCACACCGGATCCTCCCGCTCTGAAAAACAGCCAGGCTTGAGCCCTACCAACATGTCATCTCACAACAACATCCACTACACCCGGACTGGGCGTATCAGCAAAGCAAAGAAGGGACTTAAAGTTCATAACTGCGAGAACTGTGGAAGAGTAAGTCGTTTCGATTCTATACCTCTTTCAGCCCTACGATGTATGGGGCTAGCTGTGCATGGTCCGCCATTGTGTTATTGCGTCTCATCACACGTAGACTCATCTACGCAACGCTATGCATCTCAATCACTTCTGCAGGAAACCTTGCTGACGTGCCATCAGTCTTACACCCGCGCGGAGCATCTAAGGTCAGACGGCTTCCACGAAAAGCGGGAATACCACTAACAGTATACAGGCGACACCAGAAAAACCACGCCCAGGAAGATGCGCTTATCTGCCAAGTCCCTGGATGCGGCAAGACCTTCGTCCGTGTTGATCTTCTCCAAAGACATCAGGAGCGACAGTACGCGGAACCTAGAGTGATCTCAACAGCCGTACTGACTTCCAACAGCAACGAGCCTACGAGAGACTCTCCCGAGCAAAGTCCAGAAGGCTCACCAGAGCCCACATCCATGTCTCTGCCCGCTCTCGAGCAGCCTATGATGGAAATGACAACCAACTCCGCAAGCACATCCTACTACGAGACCGTATCTCCCGTGCAGGAGACGGCGCCATTTACAAGGTACAATCACGCCTCGTTTCGTACTCCCAGAACGCCTCAGCGTCTTTCTCTAAATCCCAGTCTCATTCCTCGTTCTTCTCCTCAAATCACCTCCAGCCCCAAGTGAGTTTCATTATACATCATCGAGCACTTATTTCGTTCTCTCATTTCGTCTCTTATCTTCTTATCGGATGGCTGCTAATATTTCTTCAGCCAACCAAAACATCATCGCTCGCACATCAACCGCCAGTCTGGATCGATGTCGGTAGCAATGGAAGCTATGACACCGGGTCTATGGCACGAGCCATACAGTCCCACCCCAGGGTACTCCTCTTCTAGTGGGTACGCATCGCCGATCGCATCGACCGACTTCTCCGTGTTTGGCAACCCGTCTTATCGAGCGCGCACGCCATCGAACGCATCTATGATGGACCCATCCTGGGGATACCCATCACGATCGCCGGCCTCGACCACCTCAACGATGGCATACCCATGGGGTTCGAGCGACAAGGGATCAACAGCTCCTAACCTCGCCTACATGAACGCATGCTCCTTCCCCATGACGAACATGTCGATACCGACAAGCATGGATGCGATGACTGGGTACGGACACTTCGGTCCTAGAACACTGGTCCAGAGGGACGAAGAAGAGGGGGTGATGCTCTTTGGAGAAGAACAATATGGTATGGCTTCGATCGCACACACCCAACCGTTTGAGCAATATCTTGACTATTTCTGGAGGCTCTTTCATCCCACTTTCCCCATTGTCCATCGACCTACCTCTCTGAACCCGTCACCGATGCTGCGCGCGGCCATGATCGCTATCGGCAGCCAGTACTCGGCCGATTCGACCGACAAGAAGAAGGGCCGAGACCTCCACGACCGATGCTTGAAATTGCTTGAATGGGTAGGTTAGATGCTTGGGCTTACGATCATCAACTGACTTGTAGCAGAGGGATCTCAAGGGTTCGACGGAACCGGACCGGCTATGCGATTTCCAGGCGATGTTTCTCATTGAGGTGCTGTCTCAGTACCGCGCTCGTCGGGCAGCCAAGGTCTTGTCGTCACGCTTCGACAAGGTATACCATAAGGTAGGTCGAGCGTCATTGCAGGCAGTTGCGGTCGGCTAACAACACCAGGCGGTTGAAGATTGCAGGAGCACGACTTCGAAAGCCGCAGAGCTATTAGCAAGCCTTGATCAACTCGAGCAGGTCACGCCGGAGCACTGGACCAGCTGGGTCGAGCTGGCTACCTGGCAACACTTGTTCTTGTCTTGTTACATCCTTGAGTCGCAGCAGCCTGTTCTACTCGCCCGCGAAGCTCTGACTTCTCTCATCCACGACAGCCGCTTCGACATTCCCTTCCCAGCGCATGGTTCTCTCTGGGATGCGACCAGTCCCATCGAATGGGCTGCAGCTGCTCAGCAGTACCCTTACACGCCATCATACGTCGATGAGGTTACTTCCACGTCCCTACCAAGGCCTCTCGATACATTCCAGTCATCTGTCATCCTCGCCGTGCACTACAGTCGCCACAAGATCTCAACACAATACATGTCCTCATCGACGACCTCAAGCCTTGAACATCTGCTTGACGACGCACCTGCCACTAAGCGCATGCTATCCGTAGCAAAGCTAGTACAAGTAACGCCTATCCGCGCCTTGCTGGCTGTCGCATGCGAGTCATGGATCTTCTCCGAGAAAGTCGCTACCGCCCAAGGTTTCGCAGCGTTAAAGACCACGCTCCGTACATGGATCGCACAGCTATGGTGCACGTCCTCGACGGAAGGCGCGCCCGTCAAAGAAGCACTCAAACTCTCCATCGACATCCTCCAACAAGCCGTCTCGGAACAAAGAGATCGCATCCCTCTCGAAATGGGAACAGACATGTCCGTCTTCTTCGCCGCCCTCGTGCTTTGGGCCATCACCGTCGCGGCTACCACCCGCACGAAAACCGCCCATCAAAAGGCCGGACAGCAAAACCGGCGCCCAAGCAACTCCGAGTCTCCACCCATATTCTCCCCTACGACATGGGCCTCAGCACCACCAACTTCCTCTTCCACATCCACCTCAACCAGCCAACCCCACTCCCCCATCATCTCCGCCACACCCGAAAACCCACTCCTCTCCCATGCGCAAATCATAATCAACACGATTTCTTTCCTCACAGACACTCTCGCCATGTCCGATACCACGGCTTCCTCACATCAACATCTTGCCGACCATGCGCGCCGCCAGACAGGTTGTATCAGCCTGCTACTGTGGGTTAAGCTCCGTCTGCGTGGTGTTTCGCTTGAAGACCAGAGCGGTGCTGCGGCTGATGCGTCGGGCGAGGGGCTGGGTGAGCTGTTGGAGGGGGTTGTGGGGTCTATTGAGACGATTTTGAAGAAGGGGTGGGGGGACTGGGGATTTTGAAGCAAGAGCTCTTATTCTTCCCCTTTTTTCTATTTTTCTTGGGCTTGCACCTTTGCATCTTGGTGTTTTCTTGCCTTTGCATACGCTTCCGTTACGATGTTCTCCTTTTCTTACTTCTCTTCCTTCACTTTCCTCTTAGCGCGGCATTTCGGCTTGTATGGGCAAGAAGGATAGGATTTGATCTTTTGTTTACGGCGGATACCCCTGTTTACCTAGTTCTTCTCACGCGTTTACGCTGCATGGCTTGCTTTCTGCGGTATAGACTACATCGTACGCGATGTATCTTCTATGATTACACTTATGTCTCGGTTGTCATGTCTTGTCATTTACGCTTCATGTACGAATACTCCTGCAATTGCATTGTTGTGCCTTATACTATACCCTCTTCTTTTACTACTACTACTACTACACAATTCTTCCTCTACTACTACACAACTCAGCGCCTATAAAACACATGTACAGTACATCATCACCACAATAGAGTCTTGCATACCTACATGAATTCATCCACGCAAGTCAAGATAAGATCAGCCTTACCCAGCCTACTCACCCCCTGCGCCCTTTATCCGTGAAAGATCATCGCAGGAAGCGCAGGGCGATATCCTTTCCTCCATTTACGCCACCTCGGCGGTATATTGTGTGCTGAATCCTGCAGGAATGCATGAGCTTACGTGCATTCATTGAGGCAACCAACCTCTACCACCAACACGCATTCCACGTGAAAAAGATCCTTAAAGACATCTTAATGCGGAATACTAATGAGGCAAATATACTCTGATAAACCCTCAGATCATTTACTTAGCACGCATATCAGATACACAAGGGACTACAACCACTCCTTCAATCTCAAGCCCACCGCCCCCTAACCCACTCAACCTCCCTCTCCGTCCTCCTCCACCCCCCACTCTCGCCCACCCTCCCTTTATCTCGGACATATAGTAATTCATCTCCTCTACGTTGGACACGCACCTTCTCTTCCCTCTCCTTCTCCTTCTCCCTCCTCTTCTCCCTCACTAAAGCCGCATACTCCGCCTCCCCCATCCTAACCCCCCGGACATACATCTCCTCGTACGAAGCCGGCTGATACCCACTATACCCATACCCATACGTCTTCGTACGCTCAATTTCATAAGCAAGACTTCTATGCGCTACTTCTGCGGCGTGACTGGATGTGTATGCATGGCGCGTGGGACGGGCTGTGAACCAAGGAGGGAGGCGTTCGCGGTGGCTTTCAGACTTGTAGGACGTGTAACGTGAGGGTTCGGTGAGGCGCGTGAGATATGGTTTTGTTGCGTAGGAAGAAGTGGTGGTGGAGATGTTTTCGTGGGTGGAGAGGGAGTGGCGCGTGGAGTGGGCGGATTTGCTGGTGAGGAAGAAGGGTGTCATAGTGAGGGTCGCGCGTTGCGTGTGTGGAGGATCTGGTGTCAGTGTTGTTCTGGCTGTTCTGAATAGTAATGTGTGTAGATCTGCGTGATATATGATGTACGGCTTGATAAGTTTGTTGGTGGATGTGAGACTCATGGTTTGCTGGTTGGACTGGTGGTGTCTGGTGATTTGGAGACAATGGGGGAGGGATGTCTTAGATGGTGTTTAGTGGTTTCTAGACATTCAGAGACGGTTCTGGTAATGACGCAGCATCTTGTTGGTTTGACGAGATCGCGGAAACAGTTTAGCATGTAGATGGTTGCATGTGTCGAAATGTAATGTCTTCCAAAGGTGATGAAGAATGCATGGATATCGCAAAGGTATACTGCTCGACGTCACACACCAACTTCCATCCTCCTGCCATTACTCATCGTCTACAACTTCGACCTCCGCTGCAGATACAGCTTGATAGCAACCGCCGCTGTACTTGTTAGCTTGACGAACACGCTTGCCACCACACTCATAGATCACTTACCAACAATAGCCGCCAAACTCTTGACGCCCAGCAATCCCATGAACCACGAACCCCATCCAAAAGCCCTGCCCTCGCGGTCGAAGTTGGGCTTGATGTCATTCATGCCGATGAACTTCTTCTGCTTGGCAGCTGTGTATGGTGGGTATCTGACGTCCATGAGACCCTCAATCCACGCTGGTGTTGTGGTAACACTTCTGCGGTGTGTGAAAGTGTCGAAACTAGCTTTGCCTCTGTATGCGCCCTGGCCGCTTGTTCCGACGCCACCGAAGGGCATGGTGGGAATGGAGCCGTGAAAGAAGCCGTCGTTGAGGGAGGCACCACCACTGCGTGTTTGCTTCATGATCTGTTCGAGCTCGGCCTTGTTGCCAAAGGCGTAGGTGCCGAGTGGTGTGTCGTGTAGCTCGTTTGCGATCTTGATGGCTTCGTCGAGGTTGGCGACAGGGAGGATGGGGAGGAGGGGGCCGAAGGATTCGCTGGTGACCATGCTGTCGTTCATGTCGCTGATTTGGACGACGGTGGGTTCGATGAAGAGGTCGGATTCGTCCATTGTGCCACCGAGGACAATCTTGCCGTTGCTGTCGTCAATCATCTTCTTCATGCGCTGGAACTGGCGCTCGTTGACTATGCGACCGTAGTCGGGTGACTTTTGGGCACCCTCTGGGTAGAACTCCTTGAGCTGCTTCTTCATCTCCTCGATGAATGCAGGTACCATCTCACGATCGATGAAAGTGCAGTTGTGGCTGAGACAGACCTGACCGGCGTTGAGTGTCTTTGCCCATAATAGTCTCCTTGCAGCAAGCTTCATGTCTGCATGCTTTGTGACAATAGCAGGGTTCCTGCCTCCCAGCTCCAGTGTCAAGGGTGTGAGGGTCTCGGCTGCCTTCTTTGCGATGATCTTGGCGACCATCTCTCCGCCAGTGTAGAAGATTTTGTCCCACTTCTGGTCAAGTAGGGCAGTTGTCTCGGGGATGGCACCCTGGATGCACGTGTAGCATTCGGGGTCGAGGGAGTCACGCATGATCTTCTCGATGGCGACGGCGGCATTGGGGGCGGATTCGGAGGGCTTGACGACGGCAGTGCATCCTGCGGCGATGGCACCGATGAGGGGACCGAGGGTGAGTTGGATGGGGAAGTTGTAGGCGCTGGTCTCGTCAGCTAGTATCTCTCAACATGCACACGCGACATACCCAATGATCAGCGCAGTGCCCAATGGGTCCTTCTTGATGCGCGGGCGAAGCGGCATGTTGGTCCAGGGAATATCCGTCGCCTTCTCATCCTTTGCAAAGCGCGGGACGTTGTTGGCCATCCAGATGCAGTCGTTCATGCACCACGAGATCTCCGTCAGGTATGTCTCGAACGACGGCTTGCCCAGGTCGCGCTTGCACGCCTCCTTGATGAGCTCCTCATTGTCCTTGAAGCCCCAGTAGAGCTTGCGTAGCTGCTGGATGCGGTACTCGAGCGGCTTGGTCTTGTGCGAGAGGAAGCTGGCGCGGACTTTGGCGCATGTCGGCGCGATGTCGTCCATGGGCGTGTGCTCGAAAGGTGCTATTTCCGCCATTTTGAGCTGCGATGGGCGTCCTGGAGGTTCAATGGAGAAAGTCTTGGATAGGCCTGGGGTGTCGAGGTCGGTTCAAGAGCTAGGGAGACGCCAATGGCGGGCTATAAGGTCCAGGGCTGAGGAGGGCGTCTTGACGGCGTGGTTTCACAGGCGCGCAACTGTGCCTCGGTCCCATGCGGTTGGTTCAGGAGCGGGGCTTGCTCTAGTACAGATTAGTACTAGCGCAGACCTCCCGCGGCTCCATATTCATGTGTTCGTCCGTCGGCCCTTGTACCTCGCCGTGCATCATCCCAAGGTCGACCAAATCAACTTTCTTGACAAGCTACTCTCGGATCGGAATCCTTGGCAATCATTACGCATCACTATGCATCCAGACTAATATTAGAATGCCTTGACAAGAACACGCACTGGTATCTAACACTGTGTTTTTTCGAAGTCTGCTGAACTATCCATACCTAGATACTTGGTACACAGATAACATACGCCACTGCTGCTTGATGTCCAGCTCATGTCTCCTCAGCAGACTATGCATACCCCCCGGGTTTGCTTCGATGCGGAGAGCTTCACAAGAAGAACTTTCGCTTTACGACGGCTCCTCCATGCAACACGCAGTATTCCCTGTCACCCAGTCCTCGACCCATCCTCAGACTAGGAGCTAATGGAGCAACTGAGAAGACGCCCTTGATTGCAATGATGCAAGGGCGGTGACGTCTCATACAGTAGTCGCACGCGTACTGTCCCGCTTCGCCTTCAGGTGGCCACTTGCACATCTCGTTCAGTGCTTTCTTGAACAAGCACGTCCATCTGCCTTTTATACCATTTGCCTTGCTGTGTTCCACCTTGTCCATGTCACGATCAAGCAAATCCAAGACACTGAGGGCCTTGAAGATGGTCATATAGGCGTCGGCACGCACAGATGCGTGGATGGTGGTGTCGCCGTTATCCGTCTGGACCTTGATCGAGAAATTGTTCGGCACCTTCTCGTCAGTCATGGTACCGTTCCTGATGCCCATCAGGAATCCTTCGATACGAAAGTTCAAGGGAGACGAAGATGAGGTGCTGTGCTTTGCGAGTGTCTGAGCAACGACGGCTGGTTGGGACTGCAGTAGTCGGTAATCCGCACTCGTACCATTTCCAGCCGCAAGAGTGCCCAATTTGCGCCGCTTGACGATATCCAAATATTCGACGACCGTTGGAACGATGATCTGAGTCTTGATGTCCTGCATAGCATCTTTCTGGGGGTCAGGTATAGCCTGCCACATGGCCACAAGGGACGGATCTGCATCTTCAGCAACAACATCGTCAAGCTCAGGTCGTACAAAAGATGGTAACCCTCCGGCATAGCTTGGATCGTTTGGTTGTAAAGGCGATGATGCCGAGCGTTTACCGAGAACAACGCCACGCGGAGCAGATCCCAGAGCGTCGTGAGCAGGCTCGCTCTCCAGTGTGTCTTCTGCGTCGGACTGATGTGCTTGAGTATGCATCACACTAACATCCTCCTGCACCCCGCCTTCGAGCCAGTCATCCAAATGTGAAGCTGCTTGTCGCCTCTCCCTAGCTCGCAGAATCTTCGAGACCTTCTTCTGCGCCTTGTTGGTTTGCTTGATCTCTTGACCCAACGCTTGCACACTCGCCATCGTTATGAGATCTGGGCGAAGGAGCATCGAGCGAGCATGCTCTGAGGGAGTCGCCGTGGCCACTAGTCCCTCATTCTGCAGTCCTTGAGCTACTACATCTTCCAGGAGAAACAGGCCAAGTCGCTTTTTATGACGGAAGTCCCTTGCCCACTTCTTCGACAAGCCGGTCGGCTCGTTGATGCGGTACAAGGCTGTGATGATCATTCGAATGTCCTCAACCTTCGGAAGGTCTCCGAAAACATACCAGTTTTCGATGAAAGTAGAGCGTTGGAAATCCTCTAGATCATTTGTGGCCTTGATGTTGTCTTCGTCTTGCTTTTCGGTCAGGCGTCCTTTAAGCACGTTATGCGTATATTCGTATGGGTTTGCGGGCTCAACATCTTCTTGCTTAATGACTGCGTCCGTTGCCAGTTTATGACGGGTGTATTTGGAGGGACCTGAGGTTTCTTCAATCGCTTCCCTTATCGGTGGTTGGGCGTCACGAAGTCGATGTGTAAGCTCGAAAGGACTCGGAGGTGGCTGAGCCACCAGCTGTCGCTTCTTTTCTCGGATTGCGCGCAGTGATGCAACAGTAATCGGTGGTGAGGTGTTTCGTTCCGCCATCCTGCGTGGGTAATCACCGAGGGTGGTTTTGAGGCGGTGGTATGCCTGTATGGTTGTGTGTGTGGGAGTTGGGCGAGGTGGTGAAGCTCATTTGTTTGCCAAGACAACGTGGGATAGCAGCGGTGGAAAGAGCACCCGTGGGCAAATGGGCGGTCCTGCACCTCACGAAAGAGATGCAGTTGCTACAGCAAGGATTTTCATTGGGGTACAGGCAACCACACCTCGTCTGGAAGACTGCCTGCCACTGGTTCTCTGTATACGCCAAATAAAGCATCATGCTGCTGCGTGTGAAGGAATCTGGGTATGGGCTCTAGCTTCCGAGATCAACTCACTCACAACATCACTCGTACTATGAAATAGCAGGCCGGCAGGATCTGTTCGCTGCTAATCGGATTCCGTCTCTCGATAGTGACATGCGTACGCCTGGCTCCTTGCCACGACCCCAGTGTGGCACATTAGACCCCGCCAAAGCGATGACGTCCAGGCAAGGACGAGCTACACCGTTACCGGATGGATCTCAAATGAATCTTTGTCATACCGAGTGCTGGGTAGATTACAGACATGAGCATATACTTGGGGCAGGATGGGTTGTTGCCCAGGTGCTGACGCTCGGCGCCTCAACGGGAAAGCTCGACGCTAGCTTGCAGACTAGTCCTCCCGAGGTCTTTAAGCGATAGCCCCCTTTCGAAGACGCGTCCGGTCCTAGAACGCGTCTAGCTATGAGTTCATCGCGTTCGATTCTCTCCTGCCATCTCCTTCACACGTCGCGTTTGCTTGCGAACCATTTCGTCTACAATCACCGTCTTCGTCCCAAGTCTGTAACGATGCGCGTCCGATGACGGATAACCAGAGATGCGACATTGGAGGCTTCATACAGGTGCAGTGTCTGCGTCTGCTTGCTAAACGAAAGTTATGCATGTCAACAAAAGCTTCCAAGCCAGGAGCCTACATTTACTAAACGGTTTGCTAATTTGTTTCTTAAGATTAATGTAGACTGCAGAGTGTCTATTCTTCGCTTCTATATCGTGCTATGAGCCTCCACTCACATCGTTGACGTGATTGCTTCCTTGTATCAGTCTCGCTCCTGACGCCACCCCAGTCGTAGTGTCAGATGCCTTCATCTTCTCCGATCCACATTCACATCCTAACCAGGTGCCCCGGCCTACTGTCCAAATGACCCCATTACCCATTCATTATCGTATGTTTCTCCATAAACCCCATCTTTGTCCTCGTCGTTTGATCCGTTGGCGATCACGCGTTCATCGAGAGTCAAACTGTAATCGATGCTGGTGATACTGTTCCGCCGGCTAGTATCCGCGAGAACTGATTCATTTTCTGGTGAATCAGCGGGCCCTGCATCTAAAGATGAGGAAGAGGAGGTGATGGTGTCATCGTCGTCGTCGTCGTCTTCCGTATCCAAGGGGCCCCATTCCAGGCTACCTTCGTGCACGCTCAGGGCATCGCCATCAGCTCGATGCTGCTGAAATTCCGGCTCAAGGTTTTGCTCTTCTTCATCTTCGAACTCAATAAGAGGCTCGTCTTCATCGTCGAACTCAATAAGAGGCTCGTCTTCATCTTCGAATTCAATAAGAGGCCGGGTGAGCCCAATCCATGTACGACTGGCTAGTGCTGATCCTGGAACCGGTCGTACTGGTCTACGCTACTCGCTGAATTGGACACGGCATTCAGGGCAAAGGTTGCTATTAGAGGATGTGCCGTTGAGCCATTCGAAGATGCACTTGTAGTGGAACAAATGTCCGCACGAATTGAGCTTCATGGTTCCCGCGTGACTGTCACTACTACTATGGGAGTGATCTTCCATGCAGATTGTACAGCATTGGTCCTCGGGAACTGTTGTTGTGGCAGCCGCAAGATCAGTGAGATCGAGAAGAGGGCCGTAAGGTTCAACGTCGGCGGTATCTGCGATGGTGAGATCCGGAATTTCGCGTTCTTCATTGTCTGCATCGGTTATTTCGGGATTGTCGTCCTCATCATAGAAGCGTTGACCCCGTCCTGTGGACGAAAATCGCGGTCCTCGGCTGCGCAGTATAACTTCCACGTTTACCCGGCATTTGAAGATATTTGATACGTCAAAGTCTTCTGGAGGTATGCAGAAGTCGCTTGGCGCGCTGTTCAGAGCGCCTTCTGTGTTCATCTCATACTCCTTACACCGCATTTCAGTGATAAGAGCCACGTTGGCAAGCGGTATCCAGGGTCTGGGATCGGAGGAGGGAAGCTTCATTTGTTGCACAGCCCAAATAAAGAGGTTGCACTCCAGGTATTGTGGTTCAAAGCCGAAAGTACGGCTCAGAAGGTTTGCCTTGTTCCATATAGCGTCCCAAAGCCCAATGAGGTCGATGTCCTTTAGGACATCTCGAATATGATATGGAAGTAATGCTTGGGGATCCTGGCATTGGACGTCGGTCCTAAATCTGGACCGGGCTTCCTCTAGGCCCATCGCATACCACTTGTATGCAGGTTGCTGGTCGCACATACGAGCATGGTGTTCCCAGGAGTATTTGAAGATAAGGGCAATGTTCAAAGCCAGCGCGATAACCAAGTCCAGTATACATGCGATACCACGTTTGGCACCCGGCTCGCGGGTGAAGACCTCCATTACCGACCACAGTACGCCTCCAGGGCCGAAGAGTTCTTGAGAATGAGCGGGAGCAGGATTCAACTCCCCTGAACCATAAATCGGCCCGCAGGTTGCGACAGCTGTCAAATTTGCTATCGCAGTATCGTCCTCCTTCGAACGCTCTTCGGACAAGCTGAGAGTGGCGCACTCTACCAGCCACTTCACTCCCCTTTGAACTTTGGTGTACCATTGCCCGATATCCATCACAGATTCGATGGGATCGCCATTTAAAATATCTTGTCGAACATGCGAGTAGAGCTCGAACCAGATGCGGACTGGGTCTTGCTTGGCCATCAGCTGCGCCACTTGCAGTGATTCCGGGTCGGCATACCAGGACGAATGAGGATATCGAAGAGTCCGTGACAGACGAGACCATAGTTCATGGATGTGCTCCTGTTCGCCTGTTGGTGGCAGCTCATCCGGAAACTCCTTGTGACACTCATAAACGTCTTGGAGAACTACGTCAAAGACCGCAAGATTTAGAACCGTGTGGGGATACGAATGGCGAAATGGCTGAAGCGCTTGGTCGAGCGAGGTCAACTTGACTGGCAGGTCTTTGGCTTTCGTTTGCGCATTCGAAGGCATCATTCCTGGATCTTGGGGTGGTTGAATCTCGGTGTAGTCCATCGCGCGTGTGGGATAAAAAGGCAAGAGTGGCCGGGTTATGAGATTGTTGTGCGACTACCTGATGAGCTCGGATCCACTAGGCGCGCTCACGACCCATGGAAGTGAAAAGCCGGACACCTTCTTCCACCTGTGTACCCAGTGAAACCTTTAGAGAAAAAAGGCTATTGAGGCGAAATTACCTTTTCAGTGACACAACAACGTGTTGGGAAACTAATGTAGGCTGCAGGTACTTAGCTATGTCTTGCCTTGGGCAAGGCATTCACTTCATATCGCCTCTTCGGACTGACCTGCGAGCAGCGAAAACGCCAGAGCAGCTATACGTCAGCTTGACATTGCTAACCGCGTTTTTGTGTGAACCGAAAGCGGAGGCTTCCGATAAATCCAAATTGAGGAAGCTACCTATTAAACGTCGGCTGAAGAAACGAGTGGCTGCCATTTCGGGCAGTCCTGAGTGTCGCATTTACTCATGATTCTTCAGTCGTAAGATGCATTTAATGGTTCGATAGCATGCATTCTACCACGTCTACACGCCTACTTGATAACTAATGGCTTAGCACCAACTTTCTCCGCCTCCGCGTTCAGCGCATCAACCTCCGCTTGCACCAACGGAATACCCGTCTTCTCTCTTTCCTGTTGTTGCAATTGCTCAAGTTCGCCCGGAAAGTAGATCCTCTCCACACCCGCTGCCTTCTCAGCACCCGTGACCCTGTCATACAGAATTTGCATCCTCTCCCTGAAGTCGTCCAAGCTCATGAAAAGATCAGGTTTCACTGCGACAAGGAAGTGGCCAACGTCTGAGGGTCTGGAAGGGTCGTAGGGATTCGTAACGTCGCCTGCGAATGCGGAACCGGAGAGTACGCCGGAGAAAACATCCATCATGACAGCTAGACCTGAACCTTTAGGCCCACCCATAGGTAACATGACACCGCCGTCGAGTGCCGCTTCTGGGTCGTCCGTTGGCTTTCCATCTTTGTCCAGCGCCCAGTCCAGAGGTATCTTCTCGCCCCTCCTCTTCGCTTTGTAGATCTTTCCTCTTGCTGCAATTGACGGCGCCATGTCAAGTACGAAAGGTTGGTCTTTCCCCGGCGCACCACATGCTATCGGCGACACACCTAGCAGCTTACTCTTCCCTCCCCAGGCCGGTAGCGCAGGACTCGAATTGGTAAACACCAGACTCATCATATCGGCATCCAGCGCCTTCTGTACGACCCAAGCACTCATACCGAAATGATTCGAATGCTTGATGCTCGCCATCCCGATACCATACGTCTTTGCGGATTCGATGCAAGCAGCCATGCCGGCGTCTGCGGCAAGAAAGCCGAAGCCATTGTTGGCGTCGACTTGGGTGACGACTGGCGTTATTTGGGTGAGAGTAGGTGTTGCTGCACTGTTCAAGACGCCTTGACGGACGCGCTCCATGTATGACGGGATTCTGTTCATGCCGTGGGTGTCGACACCGCGGAGGTCGGCTGCTATGAGGCATTTGGCAATGATGTTGGCGTTCTCGGGCGCGACGCCATTACCGACTAGGACTGAGGTTACGAAAGATTGTGCATCTTCGGCGTTGACGTAAAGTTTCTTGTCTGATGATGGTTCTGTCATGTTCGTATTGGATGTTGAAGGTTGAGCTGCCAAGGTGGGGAAGGAACGAAGAACTGCTTGGTATGCTTATCCCGTATCTTATATGATTCTACAACCGGAATAGTGAGTCACATTTCTCGGAAAAGCATCTAATCGCTGATGCGTTCTGTTGGGATGTGGAGATAGCTAGGGGGTGTGTCTGAGTCAGCGGAGGTGGACTAGTGAAGACGGACTTCCCCGCTGTTCCCCGCAATCGTCAATCGAACTTCATAAACCTCAGGATGGAAGACATCAAGCTTGAAACAAGTTCAGACTCCTGCGCGTACGAACCTAATGTGCCGAGAGCTATCTCCAAAGCATTGAGAAAAAGTCGCGACTGACTTCCTGCTGACCGCTGATTGGACGCAGGGGAGCGCAATGGTCAAAATTGGACCATGATGGCCGCACCCAGTGAGCGATACTCCGAGCAGATTGTGGTGTCTTCCAAGGTTAGCTGTCGACGATGACTGAGTGGTAAGTTCCGCAGTGACGTCGTTCTTTCCTGTTTCGTCTCCTGGGTAGTCTCGGCCTCAAACAAGACCACAACTGTTTCGGCGCCACTCCTCGCTCATCAGTCCTTCTATAGCTTTCCTCTATATCCAAAACGAGATGAGGAGAACAGATATCTACCGGTTGAGAACGAGGTCGTCGAAATCACTGGACGCAGCCACTGCGACTTCCTCTTTCTCCGCCAAGACGCACGTGCTTGCTCACAACCTTGGAAGCGCGGGTAGCTGCACTCACATCTCACCTCTTGTCGCCTCAATTCACTGAAACCCCTGTCGAAATCCCACAGAACTCTCGAAATTCGCAAACATGGACGACGAAGGCCCTAAATGGCGTCTTGGTATGTTCTGCCGCATCCCTTTCTCAGTTTCTTAGCTAACAACTTCAAGAACAGGCAAGTACTGGCCGCGCAACCTGTAGTCAGGCCGCCTGCAAGCGCAGCCAGATCAAGATCGCGAAAGGAGAGCTGCGTATCGGTACTCACACGCTATTTGAGCCAGAGGCTAGATGGTACATGGCCTGGCGTCACTGGTAAGTCTACCTTCTTCTGGAGCCTCCTGCGCCTACTATGTATGTACTGACATAAGAAGGGGCTGTGCGACCAAGCATCAGATCGCGGGCTTGAAGGAGACCACCGGCAACGATCCGACAAAGGCACCCGGCTACGAGCGACTCAGCCCTGAGAGCCAAGAGCAAGTACGCCTAGCCTTCGAGGGTCAGCCAGTCGACAAGAACTTCAAAGGCATCCGAGAAGACCTGGCCAAAGACGCTCAGCGATACGCCAAAGAGTACACTGATGTCAGCTTCTACAAGGTCGACGTTGCCGGTCGTGCATGCGCTTGCCGTGGCAGCGACTGCCTGTCTAAGAACGTGAAGATCACCAAAGGTGAGCTGAGGCTTGGTCTGTCCGTCCCGTTCGATGGCGAGCACGAGAGCATGGTCTACAAGCACTGGCAGTGCATGTCAGCGTTCGACTTAGAAGAAGTTGTTCGCCGAGCCAATGAAGACATGTTCGATGGCCTTGAGTCCCTTTCCACGGAGTTTGAGGAAGTCGTGACCGAGACACTCGAGACAGGCAAGATCGTTAAGCCACCAGCGCCCAAGATCGAGTCGCGTGCGAAATCAAAGAAGACCCAGGCCCAGAAGAAGAAGGCCAAAGATGAGGCAGAAGAAGACCCCGCAGATGCCGTAGAGACCAAAGTCAAGGCAGAGGATCCGGAACACGAGGTGGAACCACAGCCGAACGTCGCCTATCCGCCCTCGCCCCCGCTCGATATGGAGAAAGCACCAAGCACAAGCAAGGTCGGAGGAGCAGTCGATGCCCAGCCGACTGAGAATGGACCGACCGTCGGTGTCAAGTTGGAAGAAGCAGGAGTAGATGACGCGGCCAAAGCTACAGATGCAGCAGCAGTTCCCAAGCCCAAAGCCAAGAAAACGCGAGCGAAGAAGCGTCCTATCCGAGAGGTGGATGGAAGCGAGGATGAGCCCGAATACATCCCCAAGAAATCGAGAAGCCGATCCACTCCGTTCGCCGGTACTGCTGGTCTTACATAGCGCGATGGCATTCCGAGGGAACCCACGATCAAGTAGGAGAGCGTGTTGAGGACTGAGAAGGTGAAGGAGATGACAGCGAGGTGGCAGCTGACTGAACATGTACAAAGAGCACATACATAGCTAAAGGAATCCATAGCAAGCTTCTTCTGAATCAAAATACCCGCGCGATTAATCTTGACCAAATCGTCGACACTGTCGTAGGTCGCGTTAACTACGCGTCACAGCTAGTTCCCTGACGCACGACCCACCTGAGCTCGAGGTGGCGCATCCTTGCCGCAAGCTGTCCTCCCCGCAACACACCCACTACCAACGCAACTCCACTTCACGAACCGCCTTATCTATTCTCCTTCGCCAATCACCCAGGAACTACCTCATTTCAAGAGCCTATTCACTCTAAAATAGTCACGATGCCCGGCAAAATCATACCCGTAACCTCCGCTTCGCACTTCTCCCAACTTCTGTCGCAATCCAAATACACTATCGTCGACTTCTACGCGGACTGGTGCGGGCCATGCAAGGCAATCGCGCCAGTCTTCCAGGGCTTGGCAGAGAAAGAGACCAAGCCAGGCAAGATGCAATTCGTGAAGGTGGACGTGGATAGCCAGCAGGAAGTTGCAAAGAAGTATGGCGTCAGCGCGTACGTACACCCCGAGAGACACACCTGCATGCTGGGATGGAGGAAACTGTAGATTCATGAGCTGACATAAACACTGTCCAGTATGCCGACCTTCCTTGTCATCAAATCCACCTCCGTCGTCGAAACCATTCGCGGCGCCAACCCCGCAGCCCTCACAGCCGCCGTCCGTAAAGCCGCAAACGATACTTCCGGCCCTGGTGCTGCCTCCGCTGTCTTCTCGACCAAAGGCCGCACACTTGGCTCCGCTTCAGAACCCAGTCGGCCTGTAGGCGAAAGCCCATTTGCCGGCCTACAAAGGATGCTGACTGGCAATGGTGGACTGAGCGATACGCTGGTCAGGTTTGCAGCGCTGTACTTTGTCAGCCTGTTCGCGTTTGACTCTTTCAAGGCCGCGGAGGAGAGTCCGTTCAATGTTCGCGCGAGACGGTAGAAGAGGGCGGAGAACACGGAGTGATAGCACGTATGCGGAGGTTCGGCGTTTAGGATAAGAGCGTGGCGTTTTTGGTATACCATTCTGAGGCTTAGTGTTTTCACAATATTGACGTTATCGGCAGCACCAGTATCGAAAAGCTCGTTCGAGTTTCTAGATGCCGCTGACTGCGATATTTTATTCACATCTCGATCTTGAATCCACTCTGGTTCTAGTAAGATCGCTCGTGACGCATTTGTCTTTCACATTCTCCTCTGACTCTCAGCTTGACTTGGAATCGCCAGGGAAAGTCCACGTGTGACCAGCCTTGACTATGTTGTCAAAGCAAGCTTTGCGCAAACAACCACTATATACTCGCCTTATATATTCACCTCTACGATACTCTCACTACACCAAACCCGAAGTCTACAAATGATGGACCCTTCTTCCGGCTTCACGCCCAAGACAGCTAGTGCTAGCTGGACGCACGCCGAACTTCTACAGAACTACCGCGAGCTCCACGCAGAGTACGACAAGTACGCGACGCTCGCCGCGCAGTTCGACGGGACCAGATTACCCTTTGGACGAGAGCGCGGGCTTCACAACCTAGTCAATGCACGAGCGAAGGTGGAGCATGATATCAAGAGACTTAAGAAGACGTACCAAGAAGAGTGGATGAAACTAGCGTCTCAGAATCTCGATGCGAAGCTCCGTGAGGCGCTCGAACAAAGTCGAGACACGCTGGCAGCTGTCTTGGACGAAGATCGCCGCCCTCCGCCTGACAAACTGATGAAGGAGAAGGCAGAATTGCAGAACGAGAAGAGTAATCTGTTGTTGCAGTTGCGAGAGTTGTTGTACAGATATAAAGAGCTGCTGGAGAAGCAGAAGAAAGGGGAGAATGATTGCAATGTCAGCAATGTGCAAGAGGTGGAAGGCGAGAGAGACCTGCTGCGAGAAGACCTCGATATTGCACGGGTGGAGTGTGAGAAGTTGAGACAGGAAGTAAAATACCTTCAGGAGGTATTCGGGGTAAAGGATTAGTATCGATATTGCAATTGTAATTGCAAAGAACGTGTTTAATGAGCGCATGCATCAATGATCGCTGAGTAGAACTACTTAACTATGTAACAGTCCAAATCAGTATCTATACGTAAATACGGGTTTACTGGAGGATGAGCTCGAGCCACTCGATGAGGGTCTTTCCCCATTGATCTCAGCCTTATCCTTCTTACCCAAAACGACCCTTTCGCACCAAGAGCACCAGCTCCTCAGCTCGCCCTTGACCTCTCGCTCCAGATACTGAATCGACTTCTTCTTCTCGTCCTCAAACAGCTTGACGCATTCGCCGACGCGCACCTGCTTCTTGTGTTTGACCTTGAGCACACCGCCGATGCCTTCGATCTCCTGGGTGAGATAGGAAGAGCCCCTCCAGCGTTCGGGTGACTCCGGGGTTTGCGATCTCTCTTTCTCGATGGTGTCGAGGAGGTTTTGCTCGCATGTCTCGTGCTCGACGATGTGTGCGCCTAGGCATGCGGAGCCTCGTCCGCATTCTACGCCCTCGTTGCCTTCGCCGAGACCGATGCCTACGCCGCCGTGCATGTGGCTGTACATGGTGCGCCAGCTCCAACCGCGGACGTAGGTGGTGTCGGCGTTTCGCAGGTCTTTGCCACATGGCGCGCAGAGCCAAACTACGTTGTCGCAGTTGCAGGGTGTACGCTCGAAAGCTGGCGCGGTAAAGGCTCGCGGGTTGTCGCCATCGAAGAGCACTGGATGTGTCTCCGGTGACCCGGGTGGCGAAGGGGACATCGATGAGGCGCGCTGCTTCTGCACAGCCATGAGCAGTACGAGAGGCGCTTTGGTGCACGTTCGGCATAGCCGGCGATGGCGGGCTCTGAGCGTGGGCGTTGGTGGTGGCTTCATGGTACAATTCTGCGAGACCCATTAGCCCTCAATTCATCCTCTCACATTTGGGCGGCATACCCGGCATACGACTGTCCCACACCGCTGGCAGTCGCCCACCATATCGCGGGCGCATTTGCCGACGCGACCAGTCGTCAGGCGGCTCTCCAAGACATGTCGCCCCTCGTGCAGTCGCGAACCAAGCGTCTCACTGAGGTCATCGTCTTCATTCTCGCAATGAAGCGTATGTCTGACGAGCTGGCTGCGATATTCGAGCAGATTCGCGCGAAACTGCCTGCAAGTACGTGAGAGATCGTGGAGCGTGTTGAGGTCGAGTTGAGCAGCGAGCTGACTGACTATCCTGCATAGTTAATGTGATTAGCATACATCAAAGCGCGGAATCAAGTCCATGCTATGGCTGGAGCGTACGGATAACAGCTAAGTGCCGCGCTGAATCCATTGATATTCGGGTTCGGCCGCTCGGCTGCTGTCGTCACGTCGTCTGCATCAAGGGAGCGACGCGGCGGCAAGACGTTGAACCGGCCGGAAGATGGATGGGGCGTCTCTAAATTGGGCAGTTCATCGTCTCCCAGATCAACTAGGACCACCATGGTTGGTAGCTACAAAACGAGTGTGCAGCATCGAAGCCAGACAGGGCTTGAACGGAGAGAAATGAGAGTCGTAATGGAGACTGCGATGCCGGAGTCATGACGAACTGGAGACACGCTCCGTCGCGTTGGTGGGGGGCTTGGCGGACAGCGGCTTTGCTTCCGTTCGTTACGCGTCGCAGTCGTTCGCTCTTCACTCGGCCCGTGACGTGGGTCCATCATCGTGACGCGAGCTGCCATGGTTCTGGCGACCAACGAATACATCATCAATCACACTGCGTTCTCGGGTTATCGGCACGCAACGAAGGAATACAGTACCAGTTTGATCCGAATGCACGCCTTCCCCAGGGATCCAGACCGACATGACAGGTATTCTCAGAGCCTCCTTGGAAGCCGATCGCAACATTGGCTGCGGTTTCCCCTGGAGGAGCCGATCGTTATACGGAACCACTTACTGATCCAGGCACAACTAGTCATTCTGAACATGCTGACGATACGTTACAGATTCAATTTCCAGCTAACTTTATAGCCAACCACTTCAACGATATCCACGTCGACCAAAACCCTGACGACCGTACCCACGCTGCCCCCAATCTGCCTCACGCTCGGTCATTGTTAGTCCGTTCACCGCGCGCCCAGTTACCGGATTCCAACTTCCAGTTGCCCCGATGAAATTTTCTTCGCATTGCTCAGGTGGCGGGTGAATATGGCATCCTTTGGGGTTCACCGGCCCGTACCAAACGACATCGTGCGGTACCCCTTTCCTGAGAACTCCAATCTCTGCTGCTCGTCTCGCAGTCTCCCTCTGGCCATCCTGCACTCGCATACTTTCAGGGTGCAGGACCTGCGCACGCACAGTTCTTAGTTCGTGGTTCGAGTTGACGAAGTCTTTGCCTAAGATATCCATGCATCGCTGGATATACTCTTCTCTCTGTATCTCCTGGCCCTGAAGATCTAGGATGTGTACACCGTCGTATTGTGCGTGGTTGTTAACTTCAGGATGTGAGTACGCATCGCCGTGGGTTTCTGGTTGTGCGCAACGACAGAATTGGGAGTCAGTGAGATTTCTATCGTAGCCGGTGTAGTGGACCCGTGTCTGTCGTCGGTTGACTACTTGTTGTTGTGGAACAACTGCCAATTGTGGAACGAGGGCCAGCTGCGGGTTCTCGGCCTGTACAATATAAGGCCCTGAGAAAGGTACTTGTTGTGAGAACGTAATATTATAGGTATACCCCGACTGCCTATAGGGAAACATGGCTTTAGTTTCTTTAGAGTAGCAGGCGGTCGTAATGTTGTTATGTGGTGAGAGTGTGAGGATTCTGAATTGAGCAGCCTAGGATATGCTTTTATACCTTGAATATGTCACTCGCAATGGCCACGTCGTCTCCTCGAGATCGTGTTGTACTTATGTTCACATCTCCAGCTACTGTGACATCTACATTTCAAGAAGAAGTTGAAGACCTTGTAGTCCATTCTTCATGCACTTTGTACCATCACCCGTGGTGGCGGAGGTGACAATGACTAACAGCTAACTGATTAGATGTGCCAAACCGTTGGATGTTTGACATTATGTGAATAAGGATCTTTGTTTATAAAGGCCGAACTGTCGTGAAGTTCACAAAGTCTTGATACGAAGACGGAGAGTCGAATGGTGGAAGCGAAGATGAGGATGAACGCGACTGGTCACTAGCGTCGTGGCATTTGTGGATCGATCTGAAGGAGCGATGCGGGTTCTCATGCATGTCACAATCGCTGAATGAGGGGCATTACTGCATCAACACTACGTCCATAGAAGACCCTGCCGAACTTCACACTTGTCCCTGTTACCTTCCATCCACCATGGCGCATGGTACGGGAGCGGTGAACCGGCTTCGGCTCTCCACGACGCTGACCGAATCGGGAGACCGCGATACTTACTAATGACGACAAAGCCATCACATCCGTCCAGTGCCAGACATGCGGGTAGAGATTCACTCCTGCGACACGGCATACTCGCAATACGATACTGGCCTCACGGGCTTGACGCCCTTTCCATCCGTAGTTTGCGGGTCGTAGCCGGACGCTAATGCAACGAGCCCGTACCGCTGGCCCCCCATCTGCAGCAAAGTGAGCTAGATGTAATCTTCTACAAAAGCAATGTGTGTGATTTTAAGGAACACGTAGTCTAGTCTCTGCATTCTCTGTCGATATAACAATTGCACAAAGCAACTGTGGTCTACAACGCCTACGAGAACCAGCTAGCAGCAAAGCATTGCGACAAGATACAGTCCAACCATCGAAGCATACAGCACCATGACGACTTTCCTTCTTCGTGACATTCGAATTTTCACTGGCGAAGAGACAATCGACGAAGGATATGTTCACGTACATGATGGCAAGATTAAGAGCGTCGGACCCATCAGCGATGCGCCGCTCGAACCAGTAAAGACATATTCGAAACCTGGCCACACGCTCCTCCCAGGCTTCATCGACTGCCACATCCACGCAGACCGAGCCGATCCCGAAGCCCTACCTCAAGCGTTGCGCTTCGGCGTGACTACCGTTTGCGAAATGCACAACGAGCTTGAGAACGTGCAGAAGCTGAAGAAGCAGACTTTGGAGCCAGATACTGCTTCGTACAAGACAGCAGGCCAGGCTGCCACCATTGAGAACGGATGGCCGATACCCGTAATCACGGCTCACGACAAGAGTCCGGAAACAGCGGCGGCAATTGCAAAATGGCCCAAGTTGACGGATCAAAGCAGCGTGGTGGAATACTTGGAGTGGACGAAGAAAGAGATGCAACCAGACTACGTCAAACTCATGCACGAGAGCGGGACCAGCATGGGTCGCGAGTTCACATACCCTTCAGTCGAACTACAAAAAACGATCATCGCGGAAGCCAAGAAGCGAGGTTACCTGACCGTTGCACACGCTCTCTCCTTGCGCGATACTCTCGATGTCCTGAACGCGGGTGTTGATGGCCTCACACATACGTTTTGCGACCAGCCACCGACCCAGGAGCTGATAGATGCGTATAAGAAGAACAATGCCTGGGTCAATCCTACACTTGCTGCAATCGGCAGTCTGACAACTGAGGGGAAAGAGCTGCAGCATCAGTTTGCACATGACCCCCGAATTAGAGGGCTGATCAATGATGACCGTGTGGGCAACATGTGTAAGTGCATGGGGTTTTGTGCTGAGAACGGTAAAGCGGAATACGCATACGAGGGCGTGAAGAAGTTGAGAGAAGCGGGTATCGATATTCTCTGGTAAGTGAAATGTGTATATCCTATTGACCAAATGACTAACGAACTGTAGCGGCAGTGACTCAGCAGGTCCAGCAGTGGGAACAGCGTTTGGGCTATCGATGCACCAAGAATTGAATGTCTTCGTGCACAAGATCGGCATGTCACCTGCGGAGGCTTTGCGCTCGGCCACCAGCCTGGTCGCCAAACGTTTTCAATTCACTGATCGCGGTCGTCTGGCGGAGGGACTCAACGCTGATTTGCTCCTGGTTGAAGGAAATCCGCTTGAAGACATTGATACGACATTGAACATCCGCGGTGTTTGGCGAGATGGCAATCTCTGTAGTACGTATCTGGAGAAGTTGGAAGCCGGTGTGAAGCCCTTGCTGGGCTGATTACGCATCCCAACAATAATGGTTGGGAAATTCGAGGTTGAATCTGAACGCTCTTTACGCAAACTATCATCAGCGCGGTAGCTACAGTATATTTGGCGCCCAGAGAAATCCTCCCAACATCATCATGTAGTACTCTGGGTGTCTGCTCAATACAGAGAGCCTATCCTGACCTGTGTATGTCGTCGATAGCAATCCATCATCCGAACTCCACCAACGGTACAGGTCCATATGAAGCCCTATATCCACGGAGTCCAATCATACGTCTTGAACCAGGTGGCAAACGTCGTTCCCAAGGTGTCCGCAACTCGGTTCCAATCCGCTATAGTAAAACATGTCTGAGCTGACCCTGCCGCCTGTTTCTCGCTCACTAACCTTTGTAACTCAGCACTAACGTCTTGGTCTAGCGCGGAGCTCAACGCGGCCATTAATGCAGCCTCTTGGTTGCAGTCGAGAAGCCTTATATGTGCCCTCGCCCTCATGCTGACATGCGGTGCGCTTTCCAACAGCTGAATGTCGATATAAGCAGAGAAAACGCCCATTTCGCCTATTTTGAAGAATGGCTCTGTCCGGGGCACCTCCTGGGACGGTAACCAGTGCCTAAGTCGCAGGCTAACGTGACGGATGTTGCCATCAAGATGAGGATCGGTCCCCTCCAGCCATGATCGATTATTCGCAATATACCAGTCCCCGTTGTCGATATCGTTGAATAACAAGTCGGCTACCCATGTGTATTGTCGCATGACGAGTGGTATCAATTCGTCTCGAACCCGCCTAGAAGCATCCGCAAAGTCTTTGAGCCAGCTGGGGAACTTCACGAAGATAGCACTCATGCGCGAAGCGACGGGCCTGATGTCGTCTTTGGGGTAGGCTTTTGTGATTAGGATGTCGTAAATGATGTTCCGGACCTCTCCTGGTAAGGCGAAAAAGGTCCACGCCGGGGTGTTCACGTTAGCAGACGCTTGGGCGGTAGTGTGATTCGACATGCTTTCTCTCAGATGGGTGGGGTTATAATCATGGAAAGCCTCGTCTCTCTTCGCAGATTATATATTGCTATCGTGAGCATTGTGATTGCGCAACCCAAACATCACGTCGCATGGATGTAGCACATGAGCTTATTGAGATCGTATGGTCCAGTTCTCTTCGTTGGTATCAAGCGCCCACAAGCGAGTGTGAGGAGGTAGCTGGACGGTTAATTATCATCTATGTCTCTGAATCAGCTTTGCATGGGTGATGTTCCATGGATACATGCGATCGACTATGGCGTCTTATCAGAGGTATAAGATTGGCCAGAATGATACTTCAACAGACTACATAGAATGAGATTTGTCTGAGGTCCACTGTGTCCATTAGTGTTGATCAAAGATATTCACATTTGGCTACGGAGAACTGAACAGATCTACCAGGCATACCTGCTTTCACACTAGAGTTTCTCCACCCTTGCCACGACCGCCACCATCCCCAGCGCGGGATATGTGACAACGGCCATTGGTGGCTGTGGGCAGTCGCTCAGTACTGATTTAGCGCTACCGTATGTCACTTCCCCGGCGTGATTGTATCAATGATTCAATCCTCAACAATCATTCAATTGCGCGAACGACCGCTATCCGGGTATATAAAGACGCTGCGAAAGGTCTTGTCGAACTCCAACACTCGCAGCAACTTTTCTCCGCCTCTACCTCATTTCTCTCATCACAATGGCTGAGACATCAGAATCCAAGCTACTCCAAGGCTATGTCAAAGGCTACCCCAAGCTCGCCCGGTCAATGGGCATACGACCCGAGAGCGCCATCTTCCGTAGCTTTGGTGCACTGAACGCGAAGAACTTGCTATACATGCAGGCAGAACTAACATACCTGGAAGAAGCTTTACGAGAAATGGAAGTCGCAGACCACGACAGCGATGAAGGGGAGAAAGCCCGGTATGCTCACGACTGGTTCTTCCTTGAAGTTTCAGCAGAGGAAAGGGATGGTGTCGACGCATCGCAACTGAGTCTCATCCTCAAGATTCGAGAGAAGCTTAGGGAGTACAGTGAGTACTAATGACCATAAAGACACCAAGATAGGTTGATACTCATCAGGATAGACGAGGCATTGTACTACCAGACAGCCATCTGCCAGTTCGAGCCTCCAGACTACTTCGACCTCAAGGACGTCCAAGGCTTCATGGCCAGCTCAGAGATGAAGTTACCCTTGTACGGTCCAGACAGAAACGTCTGGGGCATATACGATGATCCCACCGCTCACGCAGACGATGGCCTGGTCGCGCTACGTCCACGAGTGCGCACCGACACGTTCACGACCATGCTATCCGATCGACTGGTACACGTCTTCATATTCTTGAAGAAGCTATACCCGGGAAAAGAAAGTGAAAACCCCATGTGTTTCTATCGTGACGACACGATCTCAACAATCACGTTCTGGTTGACCTGCTTCATCGCTTCCACCCTCCCGGTCATAGCAATCATCGCGCTGGTCAACATATCCTCGCTGGTACATCGTCTCGCCGCCATGGCTGTCTTCAACGGCATTGTGTCGCTCTGTCTGGGATGGTTCACGGAGGCGAGAAGGACTGACGTCTTCGCGATAATAGCAGTGTAAGTTCCAGTAGCTGTTCAATGTGTATGTGATCTGACTCTGGGCATAGATTCGCGGCTATACAGGTCATTTTCGTAGGCCAAACACTCGTTCATGGGTCGTAGGAAGTTGTATTCGCACCCAACAGTATATTATCGGAAGTTGCTTGCGCAAAGATGATGGGCTCACCGGGTTTCCTGACTTAGACACTATACTTTTGCTTGTTTTGTTCCTTGTTAAAGTAAAGCTTGGAGGTAGACAATAGGTTTTCGAAGATTCTCCATTCTCAGATAGTGAAGCCTAAAGTTAGGCAATAGATCAGCCGCTTTCCGGAAGCTTATCCATTATTATGCTTGAATGTGACAAGACCTTCCTCTGTGCTTATGCTACAGCAAAATGAATCTTGTAGTCTCCAACTTTCTTGTATGGCAACACCCTCGCCAAACTTCATTCCGATGTCTGCTCCTCCGCAATCCACACCATGTACGCATCTTTAAGCCGCAATACAAGCCCCTGCCATTCCTCAACAGTGAAGCAACTGCTACTTTGTCTCGATTCCAGTTTCGTCTTGACCACCTCCTGAAGTGCGCTATTCATGCTCTGCTCCAGTACCTGCTGCAGAGCTTTACCCTTGTCTGCTTTAAAATTATAACGATTTTCTCCACCTACGCCCGTTACGAACCCCGAGACCCGGGTCGTGAAAGCTTCAGCACTGGTGCGCTCGCTCAGACGTATTTCGACCGTGTATTGTAAAAGGAGCTTCGGTGAAGAACCTGGATGTGGAATGGTGTCTTTGATTCGGAAATTAACGCGGCGGATGTTGTTCGATGTAGGATGAAAGAGTGTGCTCGGCTCTCGGAGCCAACTCCCATTCGAACGTGTGAGAATCTTCCCAGGTGGAGAGGTTCGTAATAGGAGATCAGCAGTCCAAGTATATGATCCGAATAGTAGCGAGAGAAGCTCTAGCCATATCGTTTTGCAGGTATTGAGGAGACCACGAATCGTTTTCGGTAGCTGGGCAAAAACGCCTTTGACGGTTGTCACGCATCGTTCTTTCCCGCAATGATCTATTATTCTTCGCTCGAATTTACCGACGATGTAGCCGTAGATGTGGTTTCGAATTTCTGCCGGGAGGTCGAGGAATGTGCACCGTTCTAGATTTTCATCATGTCCGCTTGGGGTGCTTTTTATTGAGATCTGGTAGTTGTCTGGCTGAGAACTGGATCGGGAGTCGGACGCCGGAGCGGCTTCTGGTACGGCGGAATCCTGCGGTGAGCCCATCTTGCGATGATTTGACAACAGCCAAGCGTTGTCGATGCAAGAACTCCTGAATATAGACAAAGGGTGTCAAAATGTTTGCAGACCTACGGTATTTATTCTAGAGCGCGCTGCACGACACTCGGACTGGCTTGCAAGTAGTGGCGACGCTACCAAGGTAAGTAGCCTGCTGCCTAGTGACCCCTTACCATTCTAGCGACTGCGCGTGTCAGGGGTAGATGCAGAGAGCTGCTGCGGCTACAATAGGCATCGCACTTAGGAATGTTGTCACTCAAGACTATGCGACGTGTGTGTTGTGTGGGAATGATGACTAGGGAGCAAGGTAAAAGGATGTGAAGAAGTCGCGGACCATCCGCCAGGCTAAAGTCCGCCTGTCATTCCCGTGCCGTCAGCTCACGTCATCGTTGATGGCAACCATGTGTCTTCTATAACCAAACCGTAAGACGCCTCAAGCATTTCTACAGTCAAACTACAAAAAATGTCAGAATCGGTAAGCTGGAATGCCTATCCAAATGCGATGTCATCAGCATGGCAATGCCGATGCTTGCACTACCCGGGTTAGCCACATTTGCTAACATCTCCAAGAACGCCACCGACGGCTTCGCTGAGAAAGACGGTCAATTCCGTCGCAAACCCTCGGCATTCCGCAATTTCATCTCGTCTGATCCTAATTCAGAGTTCCCAGCGGAAAAGTATCGATATGCGCTTTACATTCACATGGGCTGCCCTTGGGCACATCGTACGAACCTAGTGCGTAGCTTGAAAGGGCTGGAGGATATCATCCAATTGATTGTATGGGATCTGTCGCTCGTTCACGATAAGAAAGGGTGGGGCATGTCTGGGAAGCCTGGATTCGAGAAAGAACCGTTGTATGGCTATACGAACTTGAGGCAGCTGTACGAAAGGGCGAACCCGGAATACGAAGGGCGCTACCTCGTTCCGACGCTCTGGGACAAGAAGAAAGGTGGTTCTTTGGACGGCAGTTACGAGAAGAGCATGCGCTGACTTGCTCACAGAGACAATCGTGAATAACGAGTCCAGCGAAATCATACGCATGTTCTATACCGAGTTTGATGCGTTCATCCCCGAGCAGCTCCGCGAGTCCAGCAAAGGCGCCAAAGCCATCCTGCCAGAGCATTTGCGTAAGGACATTGATGTCATGAACGAGTGGGTCTACGATACCATTAACAACGGCGTATACAAGACTGGGTTTGCTCAGTCCCAGGAGGCATACGAAGAGCACGTATACCCCTTGTTCCAATCTCTCGATCGCTTGGAAGAACATCTTGGCCAGCCAGGCCATGGTCCATACTTGTTCGGCGACCACATCACTGAAGCAGATATCCGGCTGTATACTACCATCATCAGATTCGACGTTGCGTACTTCACAATCTTCAAATGCAACCTCAAGATGATTCGCTATGAGTACCCGCGGCTGCACAACTGGGTACGCAGGCTGTACTGGGATGAGAGCGAAACGACTAATTTCGGTGCGTTCAAGAAGACGGTGGACTTCCAGGCAGTAAGTATAAGGCTGTGCGAAAAGACGAGGTATTCAATGGCTAATGCACTCCAAGTACAAGGATGGCTACTCGAACGCTACGAAGGCGAAGATTGTGCCTGTGGGACCGAAGCCAGATATCATGCCCTTGTAGATCGTTTACTGCAATGGAAAGTCTTTTGATTTTTTTAGATTTCCAAGGTGTTTGTGTAGTCAAAATGTTGTTCCAAAATAGTAAATAAGCAGCCGCCCTCTACTTATTGGTCGCAAAAGTCGAAAAAAGAGAAGTTGTCAACGATGCAAAGTCTTTTACTTAGTCTGTAAACGTTGAACAGAACTCCCATATCATCTAAATCTTGTCTTCCAACCCTAACCTCTCCTCCTCGTACTTGGCCGACCCTGCATCATCGGTATCTCTGAGATCACCTGCGCCATCAGTAGTTCCCAATCACGATACCCCAGAGGTACAAGCGACCCTTCTGCCCAGTACTTGCACTTCTCGTCCTCAGACATGGAGGCCAAGACAGAGACGCTCTTCTCTTCAGTCGAGAGAATGGTATCGTCTTGTTCCAGTTCCGGCTCGACTGGTCCGGGTGTATCCGCCATGTCGAGGTGCGATACAGTAGAGTAACAGGATACCATGTGCCGTACGCCAATAGCACAGTGTTGAAGAACGCCACCGGTAGCGCAGACCGTCATGAGGCAGATACCTAGGGCGCGCCATCTCGGGCCCTGTGTATTGATGTAGCCACACACACCGAGGTACATCGTCAATATAGTAGCCATGACAAGGGGCAGGTTCAGGATTGGTGATGATCTCAAAGGCTTCTGGCGTGCTTCTCGGACACGAATCTATATTATCATTAGATATCGACAGTATGGATGGGAAGGAAGTTATCTTACATAATGTTCTGTGCAAGGTAAGATATACTGCAGCGCATCCCAAGAGAAGATATACGACATGGCTAATCGCATCCATGGACCGGCAAAGTAATATTCGGCAACATAGCTCGCTACGAATGTTCCGTACACCGCTATCATGGCGCATTTAGAGAGGTAAAAGTCGATAGCGAAGCGCGTTTGATACGCCAATATCGTGAGCAGAGCCGTCAGGAGAAAGACTGCCCACACTTCATCCTGGGTCGTCGAACGAGCCCAGAGGGGCAGGAGAAGCGCAAGTGCCAGGCGTAAGGGTAGTTTAGTAGTCGAGAGCGTCATGTCTTTGTGAAGTTGGTGATGGGAGGGTCGGGAGAAGTCCATGTGGTTTCATTAGTTACAGGTTGTGTGATGCAATCACGCGCTGATTGCCTTTCGCTTCCCGTCATCACTATTCCCCTCTGTTCGACCACATGGTCGTGACATACTTTCACTCTTGGTGGAGTGGTCTACGGTTTCTACGTGCGTTCATTGCTACTCCAAGTTCTGTAGCCTGCGCGCAAAAGTTATCCGTAGATAACCTTCTCCGGTAGCGGCCCGGCGGGCAGGTGCGGCCGCTCCTCCTCCATCGCATCCGCGTCTGCGTATCGTGGTACATCTTGATGTGTCTGCCCAAATATTACGGGTTGTGGCTTCGCATAGTGTTCCCTCGTTTCCTGCGCAAACCCTGTGTTCACATCATCCATACCCTCTATCCTGCTGTCATGCCGGCTCGCGACCCCATGTAGACCAAATGGCACAGGATCGTGGCCCTCCCACCCCTCGCTCATCATCTTCTCTACCTTTTCGATAACCATCCTACAGAGGTTTCGATGTCCTTCTTCCATCTTGCCCTTTACGAACGGCATAAGCCACCATGCGCAGCTGACTTCCACATCTTCTACTAGCACGAACTGCGCATCTCCGACGCCCATGCCCTCGCCCTCAACCTCGCTGCCCAGTTCGCCGTTCGCAACGACCCTGTATTCAGCCCTGAGTATCACGCCCGCCGCAGCATCAGCGCGTGTCTTTATGCCCTGCCTCGTGTTCTGGTAACAGACTGGGAAGGTTATGTATTTCTTCCCGTACTGCCCGATGCCCGGGAACCAGGTTATGCACTCGCTGACGTGGTATGTTGCGACGGGGTACTGGTCGGGCGGATACCAGTATGTGTCTTTGAGGGTCGCTTCGGCGGTGCTGGGGGCTGTCTCGTAGCCACAGCTAAGGGCTTGGAGTGTGAGGGTCGTGTCGTGGTCATGCAGCGCGGCTACAACTGAGGCGGGGGAGATGTGGCTTGGGAGATGATGCGCGACGTGGAGGTTGTGTTTTGCGCTCATTGTGAAAGCGCGATATCGTGGACGCGTATTATGTCAGGCTGCTGGTGATAGGATGCTCGATTATCCGTCTGGTAGGGCTAATGATAGGAAATTCGTGGTGTTTTCGAGACCGGCTGCGAAGAATGGTGAACGTAACGATTAGCGACTACAATTACTAGGAGCTATACACAGTTGGGTATCGAAGTCTTGGAAGTCAAAAAAGTAAAGAGAAACTGTGCGAATGACGAGGCTGCAGGGCGGCTAGTAGTAGCTGATGCATGTTGCGTCGCTGACTGAGGCGTTGCTATCTTGGTCTGAAACAGATGAATGGGCATCACCTGCGACGCGAAAGGGTCCGGCGGTAAACGTCATCACCGTGTCGCGCTATTCCCCATACGGCAAGGATCTATTTCGATCCCACCGTCTTTTCAAGGTTGTAACGCTTGCTCGCAAGGACAGGGACTTGAATGTTGCATCCTCATGAAGGCTTCATCAAAGCTATGATTGCGTTGGCATCACTTGGACGAACCGTAGAAGACTTCGACTATAAGACGTGATGTGCAAAGAACATTCCTCCACACCTCCATCCTCCCTGCTGCTTATATGGTATACCTGAACCCAGCTTGGCCTTCATTCTCGTCCATCGGCTCGCCATTAGCCCTCTGCTTATCTACCACTTTATTCTTCTTCAAGAAGTACGTAGTAGTGCAGCACAGCACTAGTAGGATGTAGATCTGAAGACCAGCCGTGACCCAGAGACCCGTAATGTATGTTGGAGCTTCTTCCTGGACGAAAGTCGTTGATGCAAGAATACCACCGATCGCACCGAAGCCGATCTGGAGAGCGCTTCCGACGGACCGCTTACTTTGGCCACGGATGTTGTTGCTTTGGTACGCGAGTATGGCCGGGACGTTGCCCTGGCAGCCACATACTCCGAGGAATGAGCCAAAGTACCTTGCTCCGTTGTTCTTAGCATATGCTACGATCATGAGACCAATGATGGCAAGAATCGATTGCGCAGCAATCACGGGAGCGCGAAGGCGGTATTTGTCTCCTAGCCATGCGAACCCAAAGGCTGTGAACATCGCAAACAGGCTGGGAGGTGCGGATAGGGCGTTAGCCTGACCAGGCGAATATCCCATGCCGAGAAGAATCACCGGGAGGAAATAACTGAAGGCGTAGGCTGGCATAGTTGTCGACATGAATAACGTGGCGTAGGCCCACAATTTGAGGTCTTTCAAGTGGTAAACGAATTTGGCCCAGGTCAATGGATCCGCTACCGAGTCTCCTCGATCGTCTTCGATACGCTGCATGATGACAGCGGCCTCAGCGGAAGTGAGAAACCCTTTCTTTTCGGCTTTATCGGGAAAGTCTAGGATGATGAACCATGCTGCGATCGCAACAATGCAGGTCAAGATGCCCTCTACACTGAGTGTCAGTATTGCTTGGGTAGAACCAACAAAGCTTGAGAAGCCTCAGATCGATGCGAAGTGCAATGTGAAGAGAAAACCTAGATGAGAATTGGTGGTGGTTTCTGCTTACCTATGATGAAGATCCATCTCCAGCCTCGGAGACCACCGACACCTTCCATTTGCATGAGACCATACGCAAGGATGTTCGCGAGACCACCGATACCGACAGAGAAGAGATAGAAGCCACCCAGTCTGCATTCTTGGTAAGCTATTGCTACCATGCATTTGGTTTGATAAAGGTCGCATACCTTTTTTGTGTCTCATAGCGGCGATACCAACAAGTGATGAGATATACACATCCAGGGAAGAACCCAGCCTCGAAAGCTCCGAGTAATACACGGCATATGGCAAGTGAAATCCAGCTTTCGACGAAGCCCTGTCCGATCATGACAGCACCCCATGATACGGCGATGAAAGCTAGCCAGTTCGCGCTGCCCACCTTACGAAGCACGATATTAGATGGAAGCTCAAGCAGGAAGTATGTCGGAAAGAAGAGAACCAGGACGATGGTGTAGCGATCTCCGATTTGGAGGTTGAGGTCCGGTCCCATTCCAGCAACTCGGGCGTTAGAAATCTGTCGCTGGTAAGCGTTCCGTCTAGATGCGGACAGAAGGTGTCTGAACTGACGTTTGTGCGGTCTATGAGCGCGATGGAGTACAGGGCACCCAATATAGGTAGCAGCCTCCAGTCGACCCTACGCACCAACCTCTTCTCTTCGATCTGATCATAAGCATACTCCGAGACGTTGTTGTCCGTCGCCGTCGGACTGACTGCTTCCTTGTGAGTAGTGTCTTGCTTGTAATCGTCGTCGCTGTTCATGATGGGCGGAATATCCGGAGTTCTCTGCACCGTGGAAAAGGCTCAAGAATACAGGGGAGGATCGTCGCAGGGACAAGAGCAGCTGCGGATCATTTCTCTTATCACGCATCCACTTATACTGGAGCGATGACGATGGAGACCGAGGCAAATTCCGGATTACAGCCAGGGCGAAGCTTCCCAAGAGCTCGGGGTGTCGTGGCTGGGCATGCCGTGCGTTCCATCTCCATCACAAACCCGGCAGACAGAAAGCCTATTGATCTTTTGGCGCCTCGCATATTGATCCAAATGGAGCAAGTGGACAAGGAACAGGGTCTAATGAGATCCAACCAAGTCATCAGAAGACCCGAGCACGAAGTGAAGAAGCCTTGAACAAGGAGAAACCTCCACGACGGGATACTGCTCCTGACGCCATATTACCACCGAAGTGCCAACGTCGCCAGCTTTGCGACACCGCTGTCATGCCGAGAAGTCAAACGTGGGATTGTCCAATGATGCTCGTGGTCGAAGCATGAGCGCAGATCTGTCATCCAGTAATGACACCGAGAACGTCAGTGCTCAGCTTGTCTGGGCGTGCAACGGCGGGGTGGCCAGATTGCGGGGTTGGTCTTGGGTCAGTCTTGAGGCTCTTAGCATGTGGATGGGTTGCGAAACGCTCATCCGGGGGTGCATGTCATCGGCGCGACTATAAAATGAGCTCTAGTGCTTCGCGTCGCGTTGAGTATGTCATGTAGGCGAGATTGTTAGCATTGAGTCAAAAGCGTATGAGGTGTGACAGGTTCTCGCTTCGGACTTGTGTAACAACATTCGGTTTTGTTTCAGCTATAAGATGCTTGCGTATGTGCCGTGCAACGATCCTAGATGGAGGGCAAGGGCGCGGTTGGTGTTCGCGCGAGATGAGATGGAAGACGCGGGGGCTTAGCGTCACTGGCGCCTTGGCGTGGAAGGCTCGGATGCGGAGTTGTTCTTACCCGCAATTGACTGCAGTACTTTCCATCAGCCGTTACCTCACTGCCTGCATACACGGGGACTACACATTAGCGCACGTTGATATGTCTAGACACGATCGTGATGTATTCTACTTGTTAGCCACCATGAGTTTCCCAGCAGGCTTCCACTATGTCCGTCCAAGGGCAGCTTTCGCATCAACATCACCGGTGGTTCATCGTGTACACCAAAATCAAGTTGGAGCTGGCGCGTACGTCGAGATAACAAGCAACGCGAATCATGTTGTATTAAGATCTGGAGCCTACAAGCTACTAACTGTAGGTTTGCTATTGAGCAATTTGCCCATGTAGTAGTATATGAGCCTTTATAGCGATTTTCCTTTTCGGTCCACGGGCATTGTCTCCAGCTGTCTACCTGCTCCTGAAACCCCAGATCGATGTTGACACCATGTTTGCCTCAACCACGACTAGCTGGCAGATGTGTTGCGATCGGTTCCGACAAAAACAACTTGTACAGCAGCGAACCTGAGTCAGTCAGCGCGTGTCATCGATGAGAGCTCATTGCTTACGCGGCAGTCACAGCGAACAATTCAGCGCGTTTGGCTTCAGTCAACGTTCTCAAGCAGACACTCAGCAGTACGTTGAATACGCCGATCACCCAAAGCTTCATCTTCAACGAATCCAGATGTAGGAGTATCAGGATTGACGCAATCGGTAGCAGCGATGCTAGTATGGATGTTATCCACGACGTAACTCTCAAAACTGTGGTGTCGTAGTAAACCCGGCGGCCGTGATGCTTGTCGGGCTTCTTCAGACGCCCGAGACCGCATCTGAAGAGATATATGGCATTTTCTGAGACCCAGCGAGAGAATGGGTCTGCTGGCTCGCGTGGGCAGACACCAATTAGATCGGGGGCGTACATCTCCGAATCATCAGGCAAGCCCCAGATTTCCCGGTCATCGCCTCCCAGTCCTCCGCCATCCATGGCGTCGCTGTGTATTAGACAGTAGACGTCGTTGAGATCGAAGCGATCAGGCTCGGGTATTTGGTGTAGCTTGTGCTGCTGTATTAGCGCCGCATCTTCTCTTCTTGTTAGTCAAACATCATACATAACAGTCGTCATCACGAAATCGTTGACGTACTGTAGCTTTTGAGTCTTGATGATATTTTCTCGACCAGTTCGAGCTGATAAGTGTCCCCATCTCGGTCGCTTTGTGATAGTTTAGTATAGTTCGACGCGTACTCACGTCTGTTCGCTTCTTCCTTGTCTTCGCGGTCGCTTCTTTCCACCTGTTGTAGCGTTTTCTCGAGGCTGGCAAGCTCCGCTTGCATGTACAGCAAGATGCGCGCGTTGAGTGCAACAAACTTCCGGAAAATGAGGATTTCAGGCTTTAGTCCCATGCGTTCTGACAAGCGCGGATAGCCCACGGGGTGGTTTCGCCATGACTCTGAGTTTAAAGATCGCTTCTTCCTTGATTTCCCCAGCTTTTCGCTTGTCATCGTGGCAGTTCTAAGCAAGTAGAAAGTATTTCTGATTGAGACAGAATCAGATACAAAATGGGCAGATCAAACTCAATAAATAGGCAATGAGTGCGACTACTCAGCCCTTACCCGCTGTACTTCGAGGCTATGTGCTCGCGCAACGTTCCACGACTGCTATCAGGCTAGCGGATCACTGGCTACGCTCGTGTTGCCCATCGCACGACTTGTATCATCTGCCACAATATGCTGTTTACGGAAATATCAGCTGATAAGAAGCGCTAAACCATGTGGAAGATGTGTAGGTATAGTTAAAAGGTTTTTTCGGATTGTTCAGACTTCAATGCAACCGAGCAATTGAGATCTGGACGGTATCGCGGTAGAGCTCGCTAAAATTCTTGGATCTTCTAGGGGACATACTAGCCGTACTTGGTCCAAGGAGATATCGGATCACGAAGTGCCTGCACACATCGTGTTGATATCAGATGACTAAACAGTATACCAGACTTTGCCGCAGAACCAAAGGGATGTGTTTCATTTCATTTTTTACACACTCATCGAACATCTTAGCATGTGTTTTCATCGACCGTCATAGCTAACTTACACATGAATCATGGAATCCGAGTTACAAGATGCACGATACGTCGTGAGAATGCCGGATTCGTTTGATTCAGCGATGACAGTCGTTTGAAGAATGCCCACTGTCTATGCGATTACGCGAGAAGAAGATGATGGTAGACAGCACGTGAACACGTCGAGCAATCGTGGTTACCATATCAGCATTTCCAGCGCATGACAGGAGAACCGATCAGTGACTTGTTGTAGCAAGCGATGATGCTTTAGTTGTATATATCCCATTGATGGGGCTGTGAATTTGGGTGGAGCATCGGACAGCAACAGGATGGCCCTCAAAGATAAGTTCAAATCGCTCATCGGGATGAGTCCTGATTCCAAAACCGGTTCAAAGTCCTCACGCGACGTGCCACAACCCCTGAGTCTGGCCTCCATTCTACTTACACTAGCTAACTGGATACTGACTATTTTGACAGACCCCAATCTCGTTCTAGCGAAAACCCGTGCTGAGATAGATGAACTAAAGCGGATGACGGACTCTTGGCGAAAAGGTTGGGTATGTCAAGGTATCAACAAAGCTGTTGGTCATTGTCATCGCTTTAATCCGCGTCGAAGATCCCGATTGGTCTCCAAGGAGTGTAGCTCGCCTGGGTGCAGTCATCGGGCGGTACAATTTGCCCCTAACGACCCTCACTTCGAGCGTTCTATCCTCTGCCAAGACTGTACGGACGTTGTACTTGTTCCTCCCGCGAAGAAAGACTTAACCAAGTACGTTGTAGAACCCAGCTTTGGATTCATGGGCTGGTACTGCCTGTCCTGCGACCACGTCAATATGGATGACAGGTGCGATAAAACACCTTGGCCTAAATACTGTTCGACCTGCAGGCAGGTACCGGTAAATTATCGAATGAAGAAGGGGGAGAAGCTTCCATGGAGTAGGGAGGAGAACGAGATCCGATACGTCTTATGGGTGGCTCGGCCATCCGTCTCATGATCTCAAAAGGAAGGCAGAGTGTAGTGCAAAGGAACAGAATGCGTCTATCAGCCCATGGCGAGGGGGTTTCCTCGCAGCGTAGAGTACTACGGTTCGGAAACTGTTCTTTTTACAGCGTGTGCTTTTCCTAATAAACTATTGCCTGTTGTGCGTAGCAGAAACATCATGCGTAATCCTTTTTGTAGTCGACAACTTCTTTTGGATATCTCATGTAGTCATTGAAACATTCATCTTGCGCAAATACATGTCAGTAATGCGCCCCAGGCGCGAATGTCACTTCTCAATGCACATCTCCAAGTGCTTGACGCAACCTATTGCCTACCTAGGTACCTCCATGCTTAACTACTTAAGAATCTAAAAGCGAGAAAAGCTTATCACCTACCTTGAAGCTCTACTTTAGCAAGATAGAAGAGAAGCAAAAGCATAGGTTCGACCTCCTAGCAGCATTGTCGCGGAGCCCGAAAAAGCATAAGTACTGGCCCTTTCTACTACTTCGCGCCAATGGCCAAGACCTGAACCGCCGCGAACCTACACCATTATTAGTCAACCGTTTCCGTAGCTATGCGACGATAAAGCTACTCACGCAGCAGTAATAGCGAAAACATCAATCCTCCGCGCCCGAGTGAAGTACCCCAAGCAAACCACAGTGAGCACGTTAGAAGCCACAATGACCACCAACTGTTCGTTGAGAGACTCCTTGCCCACAATCATGATGATGGGAATGACCAGCAAAGCCGAAGCAACAAGACAAGTGACCCCAAAGGTGAACAAGAGGATAGTCTCGTCATGAATGGCGATAGTTCCCCATCTCGCGTCGACTTTCTTCCAGCGCTTACCACCAAGCCCCACAATCCAATCAATAGCTCTTGCGCCCATGTTTCGCGAGAAGGGATCCGTGTCCTTTCGACCCCGGAGGACGACAAGCTCTCTGCTGTAGCTGTTTGGCTGTTCAAAAGAACCCCAGATAGTCCCGTCTAGACCTGCGAGTACTTTCATGTGGTCACTTGCTAAGAAGTGCTGGATATCGTCGAGATCGAATGCACTGGGCTCTTTCATGCGCTGGAGTATAGTGGACTGTTGGATGAGTGCGTCGTCTGCGATGAATGATCAGACTGCTTCTTTTTTGCTTTGTTTTGAACGTACTATATTCCTTTAGAAGACATCTGATACGCATCATGAGGTCTCTTTGCCTCATGTCGCCGTCTCGGAGCTCGTCGTCTGTCGTGCGATTTGCGGTGTTGAGCCAATAAGCATCATGGCTGTACATCGCTTTCTTACCCTCCGGACTCTTTGCGTCTTCAGCCTCTTCCTCCTTCAGCTCATCCTCTAGGTACACCAGTTCGTTTTGGTAGTAGAGTAGGTTGCGCGCATTGAGTGCGCCGAATCTTCTGAACATCCCTATCTCGGGCATGATACCCATCCTTCCAGCGAGCTTTGGGTAGCCGGGGATCAGGTCGTGGAACGGATCATGTGAGACATCTTCCGCTGCAGGAGTTGTAGATTGTGGAAGATCTGGTGTCTCTTTCTGGTCTGTCGTCTCAGCCGTGCGGGCTTGTGGGGAAACAGTCTGAGTAAAAGGCTTCATCGTAGTCGAGTGGCACGTAATAGATTCCAGTGGAGCTGTATCGGAAACTGACAATGAGTGCTTTAAGAATGTCTTTATCGTTCGTTTCGTTCTGTGAAGTCGACATGACTGTTTGTGTCGCAACCAGGTGAGCAAGCGCGAGGAATTCACGACGCGGACTGGCGAATGTTCACTGTTCACACCTGCGCTGCCTTGCGCGTACGTGCGCGCATCATTGCTTCTGCATACAGCAGCGCAGCGACTCTCGGGTTGCCAAAGACATAGCTTCATCAACCTCTAATGCCAGACAGATAGGACAGTCCAGGCATCTACAACACCCCTCTAGCTAACAGCCCATCTACCTAGATCGAAATGACTACCTCCAGGCCTACGGATGTCATGCCGGCTCACTATTTCTCCACCCAGGTTGGTGAATACAGTCAGCCTGATGGATGTCTTATCACGCTGACGCATACAGCCTACTGGTATGAGTCAATGCATAGCAATTGGCCTAATGGCTCGGTTCAGAGTCTATCAACTGAAGCAGATTCCGTATTTGGATCAATGAAGATGTGACTGATCCTGCCTGTGTTGAGGAATACATCGGTGGAGCCTATATTAAAGTGGTCGAGTATATGTAAGCGTGATGTACCCTAGTGGCTGGTGGGAATTTATGGGAGTTTGTGGGAAACAGTAAGGACCTCCAGGGTAAGCTGTGATACATTGCCTGGAGGCTGAAAATGTCGCAGGTACCTCCCGGAAGATCGGCAAATCCACTACTTTCGCGTTCTCATGTGGGATATATCGTCTCTTCCACTTCCTGCCCTGCGTGGGTCGGACGTGTTTAGGGACCAGTCGCGTGATCCAATGGGTTCATGGTCAGGCTTTCGAGATGTTGGTGGTTGTCACAGCGATATTCGGATACCGGTGGCTTGTACGAGAAAGTGTATATTATATATGAAGTTATAGCGACCACATCTAGTGGTGGACTAAGGTGATTCGGCATATGCTGGCGTAGGGCCCGTTCAAAAGATCTCTTGGTCGTCATACGCCCTCACACTCTCCAACCGTTCCCTAACCATATTGGGATCTTTGCACACGTGCTTGCTATCCCAGCCATCACTGCCACCGTTGTGATCAGGGAACGTCGTCTCCAGCCCTTCAAGAGCCATATCTGCGCTACACATGATGGCTTGGCGCATGTAGTCGAAGCAATGGATCATGTGCCAGTGGTGGTCTTCCTCAAGCTCGTGGCCGGATGTCATGCCGGAGTAGACGGCAACGACGGCGTAGAGGCAGTGAAGTTGGTGGGTCATTGATGTCGTGAAGACGGTGGCGTTGGGCCAGACGATGGGGGTGGGAAGGTCGTGGTAGTTCTCTGGATCGGGTATGCTCTGGAAGCCCATGCCGACTGTGATGGTTGTTAGTGAGGTGTTCACGATAGAGTGAAGCGTGAGAAAGTCATACCAGGCAACAGCTCGTTCCATGCTCTAAGTACTTCTGGTTTGAAGAACTCTGATGTGTTGTATGGCGCGAATGTCTGGTTAATCTCGAACTTGGTGATCTGCGTAGGAACTGCAATTCGGTTAACAGATGTACCGGCCTGGACTGCAAGGCAAGTCTTACTATGTGGTGACCACCCGGTGATGTCGCCGCCAACATCGTTTGCGCTTGTTGATCGAGCCTTCCATCTTGTCGAGTCGAGCATGCCTTGGTCTCTAGCCAAGAGCCCAATGATTACGAGTTGTAGTCCTATCACCAGCACCCATCGCATCGCCGCCACTAGCGGTGGGCATAATATATTCCTTCGTGATGATGGTGCTCTTCTGTGATAGTCGCCAGCTGCCCATTGCTTCTCTCCTCCAACTAAGGATTCGACCTCTGTCGATGAGTCGTCATCATGGTGATGATCCTGTGAGTGTACATCTGCGTAATGGTGTTGTGGCTCCATCATGTCGATCGAATAGAATAAGTGACACCAGGTCAGTCGTGGAATTTGATATTAGAAACGGAAGTGAGCGCAGTTGAAGAGCCAAAGGCAGCAGCGGCCTCCGTACAGATGTACTCGCATGTCAAACGTGCCGGCCCACACCGAAACGTCGAGGCTGTCGTTCCTGGCGGCGCCTACCCTCCCCACTCATTGTAGACGCCGGCGATAGCTCAATTGGAAGTCTTAGGCGTGAGTCGAGGGCGATGAAACGGGATGTTGGAAGGGCGTATCCGTAAGCTAATCCCTGTTGCGTTAAAGCGCCGAGATGAAACCGACGATGAATCGCCAAGAGTATGAGGCCATCTCGTCTTCCGCCTCAAGCGAGGATAGGCTGAAACCCAATCCAAACATCGAGCATGAACATTCGTATTTTGTTAACTGCAGCCGACGTTGGCTTTCGTGCTTTAGAACGCGCCGTCGCCACACTGTTCTCTCTGAGCCCCAGTGGAAGCTTGCTGAGCGCATCAGTAGCGATAGAGATGTCACTTTGGATTGGAAGGAGCCGGCTCGTTCTTTTGTGTCGAATTACACAAATAGAGGATGTATAGGCGTTGCTAAGGGACCGTCTTATGAGCAGCGAAAGCTTGAAGAGCCAGGAAACAAAAGAGATTGTATCGAGGAGGTTGGTGAAGCGTCTGAAGACAAAAAAGGGGTGTTCTGCAATATTGGAATGTGCGGTAGGCTACTGTGGGGGTGTGAAATATGCCAGGTTGCGAATACCACACATGGAAAGCGAACCAGACGATAACTGGAACCACGGTTGTACTTCGTTCAAACTCCTGCCGCATGGTGTGACAGCTGTAGCCATGTCATGTCTTGTACGACTTCACGGTAAGTATTTACCACCGCTTTCGTCGACTGCACGGCGCTGGTGTACGACAGGATTACGGATAGCGATACCATTCACGCTGTGCTACACCTACGTGCGTGCACCCGTCGTGCTCTCTAAGAGACATTTTAACCTGATATTCCGATCTCTTACGTTTTAGAGATATGGAATGCAGGACTGCAGCGTAGTCTGTAAAAGAAGGATACTCTTATCGCATCTGCAAGTGAGTACGCAAGATACACAGCCACACGCTGCAGCAGGACACGACGCGACAGACTTCGGCAGAATATACGCAGCCTCGTAAGTATGGCTTATTCACGCATAGGTGGTCGTCGATTTCCAAAAGTGAATGTTGGTGTTCACAAATGGAGAAAGAAGAAGCGACCACGAATCGTGGTACCGGAGAGCCATGTGGACTCAACGCTTGACACATAGATCGCTTCTGATGACCCATTTCTCTCCGTTCGTTACCTCGCGGCCTTCGTGCAGCATGCAGTCGGGGCCGTGTCGATGCAGCAGCGCGAGGCCGACTTCAAGGTCGACAACGAAAGGCTCAGGTGGAGGGTCTCGGCTCTTCTTCTTAGGCGGGTCCGGGTAGAAGACAGTCTCTCCACCGATGCATCCCGTGGCCGGCGAGGTGAGGTAAATCAACAAGGTCCAGGTAGTGCGCGTCGACACAGGCGGTGATCCAGGAGTTTGAATGGTCACATTGTTGGAATCGTCATCTGGCTCCATTAGCATGGGTTTCGTCACGACCGTCCGATGACTTGGGCAGAGTGACCAAGTAGTCATGACGTACAGTGCTGGTCGAAAAATTGGCCTTTGGAGTACCGATAGACACGGATGTTGGGATTGAGGCCCACCACCTCGCCGCCCCACAGCTCTTTCCGCTGCGCTTCAGTGAGGCCGAGCGCCCCTTCCTCCGCATCGGCGGTGACTAGCGTCCTTAGTCCTGTGTCGTTCCATAGTCGCTCAGCGAACGCAGGGTCATCTATTTGATAGCGGTCGTTGACTCTCACCGCGTCGCCTTTCTTCGGTTTCCCGGGTGTTGTCGTCAATGGCAACGAGGAGAGGAAGGACACGTAGGTCTTGCATAGCGAAGCCGTGAAGAAGTTGGGGATGGTTACAATCTGTTTTGGAAGCACCTCGTGCAGGGCAAGGTCCTCTTCTGGTACGAGAGGAGCGAGAGCAGGCCAGTTCGGGGGTTGTCTCGCTGGTTCAGATGACGCCGCCGGCCTGGCAGGCGCGCCTTGTTGGGCTTTCTTCTTGGGGGGCATATTACTGTCAAGTCCTCCAGGGCTCCAGGGGTGGGACTGGCAGGTAATTCACACGTATGGGTTACTTTAATGGTCCTGCGATTGGCCTGGGTCGCGGTTCTGGGTGGAAACTTTCAGTGCTTGGCTCTTTCCCTACCAAAAAGTGACGGCCAAATGTGCCGGAACGGGCTCACCTTTGATGACCTGATCTGAGACTCCCGTCGTTCTTGTAGAGGTGCCCTCGCCCTTCTTGTGCACTCTATCCTCGCCTTGCTACTGCCTGCACCGCTACCGCTACCGCCCGCTCTTGCTGTACCCAGAGCAAATGTACTGACAATGGATTCACCAGGTGAGACAGCAGACGATCTGCCGATATCGCGACACTCGTCTTTCAGTTTTGAAGAATATTTCGAGGAGCTATCAATGGAACGCGCTCGAGAGTTGAGTTCATCTTTCATATCGGCGCCGTCGGACCTTGATGCGGAGATGGGCGGCCAAGACCCACGTGCAGCAGGATTAGGCCCGGCGCAAGCCTCTCATGGGCAGCCTCGACCGACATCCTCCGAAGACACCAACCCGCTGCGACAGCACGACGCAGACCCTTTCCTATCGGCAGACGCATTCAGCTACAGCTTTGTCGCGCCCTCCAACGATTGCTTCCCTCGTATGTATTGCGCGACACCGCGACGCGGTTTGCTGGGCGAAAAAGAAGCGCGCCGCTAACCATGTGCAGAGGACGGCATCTTTGACCTCCATTCCGTGAACTTCTTCCAGTACCCTTCCACCTACAACTACGCATTTCCCAACGAAGATGGCGGCGGCAGTATGGCCGTAGCCCCTTCCAACGAGCTTCTACACCATGTCAGCCCCCAATATGACACCCCCGACGCCCTTGCCTCGCCTGCTCCCGACAAGCGCATTCCCGACATGGCAGCCGCGACCAGCG